CAAGGATACCAGGCTTATAATTCTTGGTAAGCCGACGCGCGTTTCTCTTCATAAGACACAGCAGTGGCACTTAAACAATAATGTTCAACAATGCTGTGTTATATGTTGGACGTAATTTTAATAATTGTTAAAGCGCTACCGATGAGTCTTATGTAGACGAAAAGCGCGTCGGCGTTACCGTCCAACATATCACACAGCAATGTTGAAAATTTAACAATGTTCAAACTGGCATCAGGAGTAAAAGATTTGATCTTTTTTAGGCATTTTTTCGATCCATTTTTCCTTCTCTTTATGAAAATTTTGTCGTTTTTTATTTTTTTGTATTCCTGTATGAATATACTGTTTGATCTTTATATATAAATAGATAAAATGTAATATTATTCCTATGTATTCTAAAGATTTTTAAAAAAAATACCCCAAAAAAGCAATAACATAAAAATGAAAAATAAGATTGAAAAGAACCGAGGCATAACACATGTTGGATATAACTGAAAAAAAAGGTTAAAAAACAACAACGCAATTTGTGAACAAATACAGCAACACAATATGTGTACATGTAAGTACAAAACTTAACAATGGAGCGCTTTAAGACAGTAAATTATCATAAGTTGTATATCAGCATTCGTGGTCGAGTGGTACCATCGGTCCGAACCACGGCATTCTTTTTTTTGAGTGGTGAAAAGTTTGTAAACTAAAAGACAAAATAGTTAGATTGTATGTGAACTTCAATTGACATTTGATTTTTGAAAATTATAATCTACATTTAGAACAATATACAGACGTTACAGAAATGGGTTAATCTATTTGAATGCCTTTTATTATCTTATATGTTCTCTTTGAAGAAAAGTCTATTTGTATAGTATGCGTAAACCCTTGAAATGATGTTTTCTTTGTATTCAGTGTTTACATAGTCATCATTATAAGCAGTGTACATACCCACCAGAAACAATCAAGGACATCATCTAAATGCAAAGCAACAGTTTTATAACTATTTTTCCCCTATGAAGCAACAAGAAGATTAAGGCACAAATTACACTTAAGGTTAATGAAAGCTTTGTCCGTTTAAGGGTTTAAATCTATTTTTTTTTTTAAATATAATAAAAATACCGACTTCAACGGTACTTTCATAAAGAGGAAGCCAATAAAATATGAAAAGATCAAACGCTAGACTATATCAACCAACGGACCGAATGGAAAACAACTGTCATATTCCTGATTTGGTACAAGAGAGGCGAACGATACCATAGGGACATTCAAACTCATAAGTCGAAAATTAACTGACAACGCCATAGCTAAAAAAGAAAAAGATCAACAGACAAACCATAGTACACAAAACACAACATAGAAAACTAAAGACTGAGCAACACGAACCCCATCAAAAACTGGGGTTGATCTCAGGTACTACGGAAGGGTAAGCAGATCCTGCTCCACACGAGGCACCCGTCGTGTTGCTCATGTTAGTACCAACCCGGTAATAAGTCTAATTCAGTAGGTCACATTGGGGGAAAAGGGGACGGGATTGTAGTTACGACAAACATTTTCCGAAGAAAATTGTAGGGTAACCATGGTTTTATAGCTAGCTAACTGTGTAAACATGCATCACAGACATACAACACAACTGACTAAAATATTAAACCAAACAAACTAATAAATAAAACAAATACGTCAACAAAAAATAGCTGTAGTTGATAGTAAACTTGACAAAGACGCCAACAAAAAAGTTTTTGTAGTTGATAGTAGATTTGACGAAGACGCCAACAAAAAAGTCTTTGTATTTGAAAGTACATACAGTATATAGTATATAGTATACACTTTATGTCTGTACCAAGTCAAGAATATGACAGTTGTTTAACATTCGTTTGATGTGTTTGCGCTTTTGATTTTGCCATTTGATAAAGGACTTTCCGTTTTGACTTAGTCCTCGAACCTGCACAAAAGCATGACAAATGTATCAGAATCTATGACAAACGAGACGATTTTAATTTTGAAATTATCAATTTTCCCAACCTTAGTAGCAATATACTAACTTCACCTGCATATAAGATATACATTTCCCAATTCACTCGGTATTCAAGAGCTTGCAGCTGCTATTCAGACTTTATAAAATGTCTCCAGTGTCTGAGCAGAAAGTTGATGAACCAGGGTCATGTCAAAGAATTTCTCCTCCTTTTTCTTAAAGAGTTCATCGGAATATACTAAGACTTTGTTGATAAATATTCCGTATCAACTTCACAAATAATACATGATGGTCTTGAAGTATAGATTCTAGGTACTGACGTTGCTAATCATCTTAATTACGTGTTATAGTGTTCTTTTATTTGTCTTTGGAAATGATTAATCTTTACTGTATATTCAATTTTTGTAATATCCTTTTAGCGTGGCTGGGTACTGATACATCCCGCCATTGTGTTATTGTGCTATGGTCATTTTTTGTATTCTTGTCTTTCACTTTTGCTTATGTGCTTTGTCTATATGCCATTTTATTTTTCTTTGTTGATGTATTTGTTTGTTGTATAGTGATTAAGATAGTAACGCAATGTTGACTGCTGTACCCCTATTTTTGACATTTTTACCTTTTTTATGTCTGTTTGTTTTGTTCACACAATGTTGTTTATATAATGGAATTTTATGCGACTGTCATACAAGTGAAAGGTTTAGCTAGCTGTAAAACCAGGTTTAATTACCATTTTCTACATAAGGAAATGCCTGTACCAAGTCAGGAATATGACAGTTGTTTTCCATTCGTTTGATGTGTTTGAGCTTTTGATTTTGCCATTTGATAAGGGACTTTCAGTTTTGAATTTTCCATGGAGTTCGGTATTTTTGCTATTTTACCTTTTTATATTCTGCATATTGGTATTCAAACACAATAATGTGTATTATGGTTTCTTGTGATCTCAGACGCTTGATTGGAACAACAAAAGATAAAATAATATAAACTAAATATTTAATTTTTATTTCTATTAGTAAGACTGTAGTATGTATTGGCATTATTTAATCAATTACACCTTTTTATATGAATATCTTATTTTTGATTGGTTGATGGTCAGTGTATTTTTTTATGTTTTTTCTTCGATGAACTAAATTTCCTCACTGCGTGGTTATATGCACAAGGTTGTCTCTTTTTTACCCTCCTTGCTGTGGTATTTTCAAAAACGTATATGCCTTCTTTCATCTGTCACGGAGACGCTTAATCATAAGTGCGTTTTACAAAAAGCAGCTGTTATGTTTACGTCTTAAAAGCGAGTGAATAATGGAATTAAATGAATGTATAAATATCTGTTAAATAAAATCTATGTTGTGCGATGTAAATAAAAAAGATATTATTTGCCAAATATGTATGTCTTAAAATGTGGCTCAGGAAATTTGTCTTCTTTTGACTGGGAACAAACATGATATACCTGTTCAAAATATAATCTCCAAAGAAATAGTATGATAAAGCAGAGAAGATTAAATATCATGCATCAAGGATAAACTTGGTTAAAAGATAAGTCCTTGACGACAAAGGAATGGTGTCCGAAAATCTTTCTTACATACTCATACCTAGTCATCCAATGCATATCAGTATTTCTCCCACAGTACTTATGTAACATCAATATCCATGAATTGTAAAGTCAAAGAAGTGAATTATTCTTCATATCACATTCATTATGATCCTCATGACTTAAGTTTTCTATGTTGTGTTTTGTGTACTGTTGTTTGTTTGTCTTTTTTCTTTTTGTCTTTTTCTTTTTTAGCAATGACGTTGTCAGTTTATTTTCAACTTATGAGTTTGAATGTCCCTTTGGTATCCTTCTCCTCTCCTTATTTTTTTTAAGTCATATGAAAAACTGTGGTATTTTTTTAATATTGTAGACTATGTACCACTAAAACGTTTTTTTCTGCGATTAATACATATATAGAGATTTAATGAACAATAATAATATTAAAAATCAGCAATAATAAAAGTCGGCAATATTAAAAGCCAGCAATATTAATAATGATATGGATAAAGGCATCAGTTAAGATGCAAGGTATTTAAAACGTATTGAATATCATAACCGAAGAAAAACATCACAGTCCTCTGTTTACTACCATATAACATGATGTGAAGGGGTATTCTTGACACAAACTACTTCAAACCAGCATATAATGCAGTTCCATGAATTTCAAGAACAACAATTAAGCAAAACATATTAATTTTCAGAAGGCGGTTTGCTGTATCTTGTTCCGTTCTATATCTTTTCTTATTTTTGCTATATTTCAAATGATGATTACACCGGATACTTTTTTTAACTTTTCATTCTTTCTAATAATTTGAAGCCGTTTGGTTCGTCCTCTCTTTGCTTATGACTACAAATTGTTTGAAATAGCTCTCTGTTCGATATCAATCCATTAATAATTTGTTCACGGTTTTCAAGTGAATAAGTTCCTCCGCAAATCCACTAGGCTATTCAAGAGTTACTTTTCTTATAATCACTAATGAAATAATGAAGAATAATAAATATTAAGTAAGAGATAAAACATAAATACCAATTGTTTCCTCAAGAATTATGTTGTTATGTACAAAACACCTGTCCAATATTAATCCGTTTAAAAATGTACTGTCCAATCCCTAATTGATACCTTTTGTTTCCATATCAAGTAAGGTTTTTTATTGGAGTTGGTGATTTTGTTTTTAATAATTTGAAGAAAGAAGATATATTGCTTAACATTTCCAAATAATTGAAAAGAAAAACTAATAAAAAATAAATGTATTACTAGTAATAAAAAAAAATATATCCACGCAGTTACCTTCTAAACGGCTTATTGGAACCCTACAAAGCTTGTACTCTGCATTTCAAATTGGCAAAATCTTACGTTGCATGAACTGGCTCGAGTATCTAAGAGTAAACAATAAAACGTCTTTCAGTTGAAAATAAATAGTTCATTGTTAGCAACCATCTAACTCTTAGAGTTCTGAACAAAACCATATGAAAGATCTGTATGTTACTTTGGTTTTTGTTTCCTTTTTTGGTAGAATGGATAGGGATTCTGAAAACCAAAACTTAATCAATTCAGATGAGGATTATGTTGATCCCGAAGGTAATATTTCAGAATCGGAGTCCGTTGATCTATGGAATCCGCCACCAGCTCCAAATATAATAATGCAAAAACCTGTTGCTCACCTAGATTCAGATAAACAACGCACAGGACAGGACTACCATCATCGATTTGACCTAGAAACACATCAGACCTACGGTAGTAATTATAATGTACCAACTCAATTGCCACAACCGTTTCCAGAAACCGGTGAATCTTATGGATGGTAAGATATGATTTTTAAATATGAAATGGACTAACTGCAGTGCAGCAGAATTTTCAAAAACAAATTTTATAAGACAATTTTGTCATTAATTGCATTGAATTATCCAGATCTTGCCAAATATTTTTATTGAGAGGGCACTATTGCAGTTTCATAAGTTTCCTTATTAAAAAAGTTGTAAAAATGCTGCAAGATAATATTTTGCAAAATCAATATGTTTTTTCCCATTATACGTGACTTTTTCTCTTTCTTGTCGTGGAATCTTTAAGGTATATAACACCAGGTGCGTCGACAGGGGAATTGTCTACTGCTATACAACCTCTAACGCCTTACTCAGTCAGAATGTCATAATCGGGTAAACGATATAATCGGTAGATTTACAGACCAGATCTAAGACCGCGAAAACATGTCGCAATTGAATTGAGACATCAACACATTCAAATGATCAACTAATTCGTGATGGTGACCGTAAAACTTATAAACGATGAAGAAAAGCTTTTTAGCATTTATTGTGTATGAAGGGCTAACTATTCAAACTTAAACAAACAAACAAACTATAAACAAGCAAAAAAAAAAATAAACTACAGAAAAAGGGAAAATGAGAGACATGATACATTTGTAACAGAACATTTGTTTAAATATTTTTTTCTTTTGGTTTGATAAATTACTATAGTGATCAAGTATTTCCTAACAGGAAAACTGCATACACCAAACACTTTTCGTTTCCTAAGGGTCAGAATTTTTATTTTACGACAGCAATATACCACGTCAACGAATCAGGAGTCATACAGATGGTCTACATAATGCTCCAAGAGGTCAAGAAGCGTACTTTGGACATGACCCTTACAGTCCAATAATACCATCACTGCAGTATCCCCGGTATCAACAACCCATGCAATTTCAACCAGGTCCGTACCAACAATATTATCCTTCGCCACAAGGAATGCATGTAGGCCCAGGATATTATCCTCCATATCGTTGTCCTCCACAACCGTTTGGTCCCAATGTACGATTGCAAAGATTTAATTATCAATTCGAACAAGCTGGTTCAAACCAAAGGCCTTATCGGTCAAATGACCACTGCAAACAAAATGTGATAGGAAGCCAGAATTCGCGAACAGAAATTTCTCAGTCAAAACAAAAGCAAAATGCAAAACCTAGAACAAAACTAGAAAAGACATTGCCACAAGGAGCAGAAGGCAGATATGACAAGAAAAAGAAACAAACTTTTGTACCACATTCACAAGCTACAAAACAAGATAATGAAGAGAAGAAATCAACATACATGGAAGGTAAATACTATTTTATTCAAGAGCTGATCAATTTTAAGACGATATACATATATATTACGAACATTTTACGTATTCATTCATTTATCTTTCAATTTTGATTGCACAATATATTTAGATTGGAAATATTTAGAATTAAGGTTGTTTCAAAAGTTCTGGAATTAATTCTGAACCTAATTTACCATTGTTTTCAAATAATTTATAGGTGGGAGGTAAAAAGAACTGCATCAAAAACAAACGAAAGGAGTTACAACTCACTGACATTAAGGCATGAAGTATTTATGGATGTAAATATACCAGGGTTCAGTACACCGGATGCCGGGTCTACATGAGACTCATTAGTGATGCTCATATCAAAACAGTTGTGAGGAAAAATCAATCGCAAAGTTGAGAATTTGATAAACAATGATTGCCAAATCTGGTTGTGGTCATCTCTCCCAGGGGTAGTCAAACCTTAGTGCATCGAATAACGTAACATTTCATAAACAGTTAGTTTACCCCCAAACTAATCAGGAAAGCTGACTAAAGGAATGATAATAACATCAGAAAGGAAACAACCACCAGTATTGGTGATGATGATGGATGGCTGTTTAACGTCCAGCGGCAAATTAAATGCATGTTCAGAACGAGAACATGTTAATGTAATATGAAAATTAACCCTGCATTGTACTAGACTGATATGCTAAGACGAATTTTTAAAGTACTAATTCATAAGTATCAGTCCATAAGAACACATGTCACCCTACCCAGACACATTATTCTTACGCGGAGCCGATCAGTTTTTGCTCTTACTTCTTAATGCTCGTGCTTAGCGGAAAAGCAGCAAACCCCGTTTTAAAGTCTTTGGTCTTAAAGACAATTAATCGGTAATTGTTAATTAATTGTTCAATTCTGTTACAGAAAGAAAATGTAAAAAGGTAAGTAATTAAGATTTTTATAGAAAGAACAAATCTTTACTAATAGGAACAAATGCTTTTTTACGACATGATATTTTTTAAACAACCATATGCGAATAAATTATGACTATTTTCACTTACTGTTTTCCTTTTATTGTTTAAAGAATTATTTAGTGGAACCTTTTTTTTTAATATTTGCCGTATAGATAATACTCGAGCTTGACCTTGGTCAGCATTTGATGTTGATATTCTGTTTTGTTGGCATGAAATGGTACTTATATAACTTATTTGATAAGAGATAAAAAATAAATAAAAACAAGTCAATGTTAAGTACACTTCCATCAGAAACAGAATAACATAAATTAGGAAAACTACGACGACGATTAAGACGATGATTAAGATAAGATTGATAGGTTACAAGAGCGCATTTATTTGTAATGAATTTTCAAAAGGGAACCAGTGGTGTCCCATATTTTATTTCTAGAAGAATGAAAACAATAAATAGAAAAAAAAAATTTGCAGGTTCTGTAACCAGAAATTTCAGCGTTGTATTAAAACAAAAACAAGTATAAGGTCATGCGACAAAAGTTGACCGAAAATGCAAACACCATTTTTTATAAACTATTATAAACTACACCTTGTTAAATATGAATTTAGTTTTCTGGATTTTTAAAACCTGAATGGATAAGTTTTCGATTTAAAAATAATTCTAACCCTGTTCCATCTAATCAGGAAGTCGGACACAATACATGATGTGTACCATCTTCTGGTAAAAAATTTGCAGGTAAAATGTAAACAAATAATTGCGCCAGAAAAGTTAAGGAAAGTAAATTTACTTAAAGCGATTGATATATTTTCCGTTCGCATAATATGTGTTGATGGAAAAACTTTTATCGGGAGCACTCGAGACCCAAGCAAAAAAAAATAGGAGTACGACAAACTTTAATGGCGAAAATAGACAGGACAGCCAAGATACAAACTTATTTTGAATACGGTTACATGTAAGAACTGGGAACTTAATTGATTATATTTATCCACAGACGAAAATGTATGTGTGTGTGACTGGTATTTCGCACGATGTATGTAATGAAACAATAAGGATGTATTTAGAAGGACGTGCTAAAGCAGACATAATTGCTGAAGAATATTTTAGGACAGAAGATGATCTTGGTCATGCCATCGTTGCATTCCATGATAAATTTGGTAATATTAAAGTATATGATTTATATGCATAAAAATCATAGGCTCCGTCTGAAAATGAAATATAAAGCAAAGTGTTTTGTTTTATTCTCAGCGCGGATGTTGTTTTTTAAGAGTTCCTGATTTAGATTTTTTGGTTGTCTATTTTGGTGATTTTCTATATAAGACAAGATATGTAGTATCCACTTAAGATTTTATGTCTTACTAACCAAACGTCGTAAATATGCATTGCTGTCTAATATTCTTTCAAAAAAGGCGGAGACAATACCAAGGCGAAAAATACCATAAAACAGTTCTTATTTCTAACAGATAAACAATAATAACATCTAAATATTACAAAACAAAATATTGTTGAATTCCGAGATATTAAAGGTAAGACCTATCATGTAGTTGTCTTTTAATGTATTATCTGTATAACCAATTATGTAAATTTCTTAGGAAATAGATGTATTCCTGTTGCATAGATTTTACAAGGTTAGTGTTTCAGAATTAGTTTTAAAAAAGGGTCACTAAAATAAACCTAGTAGTTGTCAACCACTTCGATAGTTTAAAGGTTGCAAGTATAAGCTTCATAAATGATCACGCATCGATATACGTCTTGAAAGTTATTATTTAAAAACTATAACAAGAAAAGTCACAAAGGTTATCAGGAATTTGAAATATCAGATTTTATACTGAATTTAAGGTTAATGCTTCAATCAATTTCCTTTGATGAAGGTTGCAGTTTAAGGGCATATGATACGGAAGCAAGGGGAGGTAATAATGAATCCATAATCAACGTGCTATTTTCGTTAGTTTTCTCAATTGTATTGTTACATATTTTTCATGTCGGGGCCTTTTATAGCCGATTATATATATATATATATATATATATATATATATACGGTATGGGTTTTCCTCATTGTTGAAGGCCGTACGTACGGTTGACTATAATTGTTAAATCCACTTCATTTGAATTTCGGTGGATAGTTGTCTCATTGGCAATCATACCACATCTTTATTTTTATATTACTTATGATAAGCATACAAAACTCTTGGAAAATCTTTAACGTCATCAAATCGGGAACGTGATTTGAAATTATTTGCAAAGGAAAACGAACATATTGTATATTTAATCACGCGATATCCAATGCGAAGCATACAATTCATGCCAAATGAAGACTGTTCTGTTCTATCACCAATAATTTGTTACATATTAAGTAGCATAGTGTGCTGATGTAAAGCGGCATTAATAGCTGTATGAAGATGTTGCATACATAATACACCACGACGAATTTGGCGCCATAAAGAGAAATAGGATTTCCACCATATAAAAAACACATGGTTTTCTATTTCTTGCTTAATCATGAGCGAATCGAACCCAGTTGCTTTTCTTATACAATCCACTATGTACTACTTCAATATTGTTATTAAGAAATTGCGAGAAAAAAAAATCAACGGTAGAATATGTTTATGCGCATTTGTATTGTCAAGAAAATTGTCTCCGGCTTTTTTTTGCCAGGATTTCACAAAATTTTATCACTCAGTCTTCATTTTACAGTTCTACAAATTCTAAGAACACCTCGTAAAGACAAAGAATATATTTCTTTCCGTTTAAAGTTGTCATTATTCAATGATTTTTAAATTCAATATGCAACTGAAATATCATATAAAGTAAGTTATGAAGGTATATTTTTCCTTTCATATTCTGAAATTTCATATTATAATTGACTTTGGGCCAAACTTTAAAGAAAAAATTCAATCAGATATATTTTCTGTATCGTATATCTTTGAAGTAATGTATGTTGAAATTCATTCTTAAAGTCATATGAAACCTCAATTTTAAAAAAGAAAATTGAAGTTGTTATGTAGTAGAGAATTGATAAGAAGTAGTGGATTCGTAAACGATAATCAACGAGCGACTTTAGTCGCAAGTTGATTATCGTTTCCGAATCCACTACTTCTTATCAATTCTCTAGCTTAACCCATTTCTAGTAAAACGACTGTCTGTTTTACGTTTTGACAATGAATCAACGATATTTAATAAAAATAGTTTCGTATTTTGTCTTTTTTATTCTATAATAGCTGGAAATGATTATATCCACACGGTTCGCATCTATATTTAGACATTTGACATAAGTTTAAGATAACTTAAATGGGGTGTTAGCTCCCCTTTTTAACACCAGATTTTATTTTTGTATATACATATATCATTTAATGTTTAATCATTACAAATTATTTAAATTGAATAGATTTTGGTATATTTGATTTATTCAAAAAGACATATATTAATATACAGAATTTATTTATCTTGTTTTGAAAAGTTAAAAAATTGTAATTACCAAAATTTGGAACCTTCAAAATTTATATATATAATATTTAGCAACATAATTTGGTATAATAAAGACTAAACACCGTTAAGCAATTCTTAGTCAAAATAATAAAGATAAAAAAAAAAATTCTTAGTCAAATAAATATCAATAGCGTTGATGCAATAAATCTGCCATTTCATAATGCCCAAATTCATGTTGCTTTCCTAAAGTATTAAAATTATGTGCTTACAATTTAAATTGAACAATTATATTTAAATGTTGTTTAAACTGTTTCTGTTTCATTAAGTTAAGATTATTTTGACGTTATTACATTTGGCATATATCGTTCACCGGTCAATAAACTAGTTTTATCTGTGGTACGCATTCTGAATCCCCATCAGAATTACTCTTACTACGGATGTACAATGAATTAATATGTTGATTACATCAATTTACCATCAAGCTGTTCATAGCCGTGATCGTCTAGTCGTTGGCAACGAATGTCATAACGGTGATATTAATAGTGCAAAGTTCGAACCTTGTATCCGGAATGAATTTTTTTCATTGTAATTTTTTTCTAGACCAAAATATTGTTTTAATCTTAGAACATTTAGATTTATTATATATTTCATTTTCATATAATGGTGATGATTTTGTTTCTGTTTTTACTGTCAAAGAAGTACTTTTAACCCATTTCTTAAAAAGAAAAAATAACACCCAAAATAAAACAAATTCAATAAACATGAACAAACCAAGATATATATATTTCATTAGATTACAAAAGCGAATTATCAATGAGACAGAAATACAGTTAAATGACATGTATTGACAATTAAGCGCTTTAAGAGTACTATTCATATAAAGATTGATGTCAGCCATCGTGGTCTAGTGGTATCATGCATAGACTGAAGACTCTATTGATTATGAAGAAAATACGCGCGGGTTCGAATCCTACACATGCCACTCGTTTTTGAAAGGATAAAAGATCGTAAGTTAAAAGTTTAAAGTTATAATATAAGTTCTCTTAAGTTAATACTGTGGTCAGTGGATTCTTGAAAAATAATCTACAGTAAGAACAATAGACTGACGTCAGAGAAATGGGTTAAATATACTTGAATGGCTAAGTTTATATATAAAGCATGTGTACGTGAACTTTCTTGTAAAAGCAAATCCTTTATATTATCAATATCTTCATAAATGTACTTCTATTGACGTATTGTCTTCCCGTGCTCTTATTAGCCGATATTTTCCCGTAAGGAGTGACCTTAACTACGAGACCTCTTGTTAGAACTTCGGCCACTTCAGAGCGCAACTGCAAAGGGAAAACTTAGATTTACATGGGAACGCATGGAAAGATTAACAAAAATATCATGTCTCTATAAATTAACTTATTTGTCACGTGCCCCACGTGCACTGTGTTGATTGTTTATCAACGTCACGATCCGGTAAACCTCGGCAACTAACTTGAAAGTTAATAAGCTTGCGATCAACAATCACTGAATGAAATATCATTTGTCGATAAAACGTTTTAGATTCGTTATTAATATAATAAAAAGACGTGCATACACGACTTAGTTAAGTATATGTGCATGCGTCTGTTCAATTATTCCGATAACATTGAAATTACAAGAAACTCGTTCCATATGACTTTAATATCTAAAGTAGTATGTCATTCGTAGTGCTAAGTATTTTACACAGATTTTTCACTTTTTTTCCTTTTATCATTTTTCTTTCATCAATAAAAATGTTTTAATTGAAAGAAAAAAAAATGATGTAATTTTTGTAAGAATAATAAATTCCCTTGCAGTTGCAATATATGTTAAAGTATATTAATTCAAACTTTTCAAGTATTGTAAATGATGCTCCTCATTTAAATATATTCCTGTTTTCCTCCAAAACACATTATGTCAAACATAATGTAAGAAATGTGTAAAAACCAATTTGAAGACACAAGCACGAACTGACAAAAAAGGTTTGTTTTAGTTTTATTATTTTTTTACTGTCTTATTGCAGACATAAATGCATTTACAAAAGCCTGTGAATCGAGGAAAATAAAGAAATGTTCTCTCGTATTTGAGGAATTGGATCCTCCAAGGAGTGCGATTATCAGTTTTGATGACGAGCCATTGTCAGAGAATTCGCTCAAAACCTACATACTCACAAAGAATCTAGTTATTTCAAGAATGCGCAAGACAGAACAAGGATTGTATTCAGTAAAGTTTAAGAACGAACAAGGTTGTGTTTTATTGTTTAAGATAGAAGAATTTGTTTTTCTTAATTGGGCATGTAAATGTAACATGATAAATGGCATTTCTTATTCATAAGGAATAGAAGTTTAACGCGTTACTCCTTGAATTTTGATTTAATTCAACTAGTTGAAATGTTTAGATATAATGATTACTATCCAATAGAAAATTCAAAACAATGAGCTTTTTTCATTTAGGGGATATACAATAGCTTGATTCTTATTGACACAAAAAGCTATGTTAGAAATGTTTCAGTACAGTACTCATCAATTTAGCTTTTATATGTTTTCTAAGCAATACGGAGTCTAAAAAGCTTTGATATAAGGATTAGTTTTGCCTCTCTCAATGAATCTTTGATTAAAACATCATAAGTTCGAAAAAAGATTTTAATTACGATTTTAAATTAATTGAAATTAACACGACATATATTTCAGATCTTGATGAATTTGTAAAATTTCCAAAGACAATGATAGACGGAAACCGTATCACAACATCGGTCTTATACAACTGTAGCCATGGCACATTCTGGGATCAAAGTCTACATACAGTCTCCATTCCTGTGCCATTTAAACCGTGTTTCGATGATCCACATATGATATCATATATAACTGATATTACATCGGTATGCAATGAGCTATTGGAAAAGCATCATGCTCGTTTGATATTAAAAGACGAAATAGTTATTGAATGTACCCTGAATTCTAAAGAGAAAGACATACGACAAAAAGTCAAACAGTGGACAAAAAACATACAGAAGGCATGGGAAGACTGTATTGTCAACAATGTTAAAAAACGGGAGCTCCACATTCCCGAGGACACAAAAGAATTGTTTGTAAGGTATGTCAATGAATCAAAAGAGGCGCACAAGCCAGAGGATTTGAAAATTATCATTCCCAAAGAGTCTGTCTCGATGACAATCATATTTATTGGCAAATGTGATATCGTTGAAAGCTTTTACAATCAAGTATATAATAGATTACAGGATATAAAAGAGACAATAAACAGGGAAAAGAAACTGACATCAGGTTCTGTCATGCTTAAACCGACGGAAGTAAAGCTTTTATTGAAAGAGAACAAATTGGAAAAACTCAATGACATTGCATTTGACTTCAAGTATGAGGTGGACCAAGTGAATGGGGTCATTACTTTTAGAGGCATATTAGAAGACATTGAAAGGGCAAAACACACAATATATACAGAGAAAAACAGTTACTACATTTGGACAATGAAAAATCTTTCAAACCATTGTTGTGAATTGCTACAAAATACAGTTGTTGCAAATTCAGCTGAAAAAAAGTTAAGCGATATTGATATATCTGCCACATTTGATGTTAAACACAACGAGATAGTTGTTTGTACATCAGAAAAAGAAAATGAAAACGTAATTGAAGACATCTTAAGGAAACATGTTGTTGAACGTACTATTCAACTTGATGATTCAAATAAACACGTTCTCCAACTTAGTGATTGGGAAGCAAAATGTACAGCTTTGTATGATTTATTTAATGATGTTTGCACCATCGATGATTCTGAAGATATTAAAATTATTGTTACGTCTACTTATGATGTGAGCGAAGATATCATTACAGAGATTCAAGACTTCATCAAAGAACATGCAACCGATGAAGATACAATAAAAGTAACAGATGAATCCCAATTTAGATTTCTCAAGCTTCATTGCAAGGACTGGTTAAAAGAATTAGAGGTTAAGTACAGTGATAATATACTTAAAATAAAATTTGAAGAGCAGTCAATCAAAGTACAAGGCAATAAAGATGGAATAAAAACTGCAAAATTAGACATTGACATCGAACTAAGTAAAATACAAAAGGAACTTTACAAAGTATCGAAAACAGGTTTGCATTTACTGTTTAAAGATCCTGACACAGTCGGTGCTTTTTTAAGTCCGATAAATGAGGACTCAAGAACTGTTGTAGCAGTCAATTTAACAAATAGCTCACAGAGTCGTAATAGTAACTCAAAGCTGAAAGAAACAGACGATGAATACACTATGCGCCAAGCATTTGAAGACATGAAACGAAACGGTATTAAATACTTTAGATATCAGATGAAAAAGAGGGGTTTCTTGTCTATTTTTTTTGTAAAATGTTAAACCAAAATTAGTGAACGTTTTAAAGTAACATTTTTCACTATTTCTGTTTTAAAATCAAGTGTAATTTATTATGGGTTTAAAAATTGTTTTGAGAAACATATAACGTAAAACAGTTTGTATTAACTTGAGCAACTCGACGGGTGCCATGGCGATGTCAGTTTATTTTCGACCTATGAGTTTAAATGTTCCTTTGGTATTCTTTCGCCTCTCTTTTTGAATATATAAAGATGAGTAAACCCGTATTTTTTATTATGAAATTAATAGGTATTAAAGGAATATCCAATGTTCTATTTTGATCATTGATTGCTGAAACCTAAAATTTGGGTTTGATTTACCACCGATTGGGATAATCTCAGCTTCTCGTTCATCAAATGTACAATACTTTGTGTCAATTAATCTGATCGTATACACGTGCAGAAAAATAACAAGACAGAAACCAATCCTAGATATAGAGCTATATATAAAACTCACAAGTAATTTTCTCTGAAAGGGGCCATAATGCCAGTTTTATTTCGTATAGTGTCTCATAATGGAGAACATTATTTGAACTGCATTTACACATAAAAAAAAATAGATTCAAGATCAGAATTTTTTGTTTTGGCTGTAATATCGTTATGATAATTACATTTAAAGTGTGACAAAAACTTATTAGTTCTCTCCATTTTTATATACTTCATGGCAGAGGTATTAAATTTAAATTGTTTATATTTTCATATAATTAAAGACAGAAAAAGATCGGAAAAGAAAAAATCGGAAGAGAAAAAAACAGTAGATAAACCGATGTCAAAAAAAGGTCCAGTGGTTTTCAGCAATGGAACTACAGTGCATCTGATTAAAAAAGAAGATCTTGGAAAACAAAAGGCTAGTTACAACACTATTTTAAGTTCCTCTTACAATAAAACTTCTCAAACGTTGTACTATAATCGTCCGTACTACAAATTGTGTGATTATTTCAAATGTCATCATTTTAGAGTAATTTTGCAATATAAAAGGAATTTTTATCAGTTTTAACTTAAACATTCAATGCGAACGTTCCATGTGTAATGGAAAATTTTAAATTTATAAAGAAAGTTTAACACAGCTTGTTTAATAGTCAAGCGTAGGATGCAATTCAATCACAGTGCTAATTTTCGATTGCAACGTTTTAGTTCAATTTGTAATAGTTGAAATTACAAGAAACAAAGGATTTTGATTTTAGGCAGATGTTATAGTTTGTTCTTCAAACGGAGATTTAGATTTATCAGGACCAGTAGGCAAAAGTATAGTAAAAGTTGCTGGAAGCGAACTTTTAGCCGAAATAAAGAACAAATACACAGGTGGAATTCAACATGGTGATATTGCTGTTGCTAAAGGATACAAACTACAATGCACAGAACTGTATCTAGCTGCTCTTTTTAATTGGAAGCCTGGTTTTGAGAAAGTAAGTGATAACAACTAAATCGTTAATACATCTGGCGTACCAAATTATAAGCCTTGTATCTTTGCTGAGTGTCTTTCATAGAATAATAACTAAACAAGCTAGTTCGGAAATGGTTGATTGAAAATATTTTGTTTCAAATAAAAACAATAAAGTGAAAATATAATGTATTATACGATTTCAAAAACTTAAATGCAATCCCTACAAATAATGTTTGTAGTAAAAAAGGGTGAAATCAATTGTATTTCGCGAAACATGTACAAATAATATTCTGGTATGCTTTAAGTCTCGGTGGGTCTAGATTTTTAACGGCATAAGTGTTAACATGTATCAGTATTTTTTTTTTTTCGTTTTTGGCTATAATCAGTGATTTAAAAACTGATTCATTAAAAAAGTAAAAACTGTAGTAAGTGTTTTTGTTTATTGTCAATAAGTGATCACAACGATTTTTTTTGTAATAACGACTTTCTTGTATTTCTTTTCTTTAAAGGTTTTATCAAAATGTGTCACCAGTTGTTTACAAAGAGCATCGACATACACGTCTATTGTATTTCCCGCGTTAGGAACAGGAAATTTCAACTATCCCCGAGATATTGTTGCAAAGACAATGTACGACTGTGTTCATCAGTTTGATCTCAGTAAAACGTCTCTAAAAGATATCAGATTACTCTGTTATGACAACGATACTATTGGAGTAAGTGTTTTTAGTACTTCATTTGTATATATAAATTCAATTTTGTTATGACTGTATCGTTTTTTATATACAGGTTTTAGTAAAATTTGAATGTTTTCCATATTTTAAAAAATTGAACTCGCTCATAATAAGCTAGTATTTAAAAAAGTTTCCTCGAACAAATTAAAATGATTGAACATGTATTTGTACATAATATTGACAATGCAGATACGTTTGCTTTGTTTTTATTTTATTGCAGTAAAGGAAAATAGTAAACGGAAATGGCTAAAAAAAAATCATTTAAAAGGAATTATCTTGAGAAAATATTCATCAGTTTTCTCCTCCATAAGTTAATCAATTGTGTTGATATTTGACATATAATTGCTTGATGAGTACGTGTACTATAAACACATGAAATCTGTTCATTGTTATGAAAATTCTGTACCTACTTTTGAGGGCATACACCTCAAAAAAGATTTCCCTTGATATTTCTTAAGACTTTGACTCAAGGTCAATTTTGATGTGCACCATTGATATGCAAAGTCCGATTTACCTTAATGACTTACTATTTTAAATACTTCAGTTTTACATGTGCATGCTTTAATGTAAATTGAGGCGGCAGTACATGTAGTTTACTGATATTCAAATCTCGTAAATCGCTTAGAAAAAGGGAAATCAAGGAAGCAAACACAAACTGAGGGAATGGCATGAACTTCAAAAGAAGCGACACCGGGTGTGAACACAAGCATTTAAGTTTTAATACCTTTCCAGAATTTAATATAACTTTCAAACGGGAAAAGCAGTTTTTGCAACATACTACTTAATATGTAGGCCTTTAATGATGTCCCTATTGAAAATGAGTGCTGAATACAATAAAGTTTTTGAGAAAATATACAGTTATTCGTAATAAAAAGCCGTTTACAATTTTCTTACCAATACAAATTCACATAGAAAAAAAATCCGTTGATTTTTTTCTTGCAATTTCGATATGACATTCTTGGAGTAGTACAATGTCGATTTTTCAAACAAAAAATAAGGGTGCTTATGATTTAGCTAGAAATAGCTGGAGATCAGATTTTCCTTTTGCTGCGCTAAATTACATCACAGTGTTTGTATACTTAATGAAACGTAGTCGTGCTGCTATTCCAAATGTACACCAAAATGCTGTACACGTTACTCTCATATTTGTATTTATTGTTGATAGAAGAGTAAAAACATTTGTTGGAACAATTGAGTGTCTGAGTGAATGGGTATTTGCAAATTGGTCAACCTGGTATAATTATATTTACTGTCGTAATAAAGTTGTTTTAGTATGTTGATACTAGTCACATTTTTAAAAGTATATTACACATATTTTTTATCTGATAACGACATTAAAAAATTACTTCTACTGCGAAACATATGCTTATTATTGTTGCTTTTATTTTCAGGCTTTTGAAAGGGAAGAGATGTTACAACTGAATCCTAATTGCGAGTCGCTTCCAGGTAGGATTCAGTAAACCGATTCTTAACCTGGCACTTATCTATTGAATATAATTAAAGTAAATGTGGGATGCACTTTAATCTGACAGAAACCCAACGACAACATAAATTAAAAAAAATATACAGGTTAACATGGTTTATTATGCAAGACCCTGTCTCTTGGAAAGCTCAAGCTCTGAATGAAGTCTAAAATAGAATGGAAATAAATTAGATATTGACTATCAAAGATCTGCCTGAATTCTCCAAATCACAAACATTGGGATGACATAAGACAACAACTGCCAGGAAACAACTATCCACCATAGACCAAAAAACAAGGATTTTATGTTTATTTTTTGATAAAACAAATTAATGTAAACCATGCATTATCACTTCCTCTCACAATGATGTGATTTGCCTACCTATGTGATTTTACATGTTTTCGTTTTCTTTCGATGCATCACGAAACATATCAAATACAGAAAAGTATATCGCTTATGAACTCAATTGGATTTTTTGAAGAGTTTACGTTCTCACAGTCAGTGGTGAACGTTTTATTTATAAAAGCAGAATAGTTGTCTTACAAGCCGACCTCAAACCATTAACAAAGATAGTTATATTTTCAGAATGGACATGTCAGCCTACTTATTATCAGTTGAAAAATATATCCGTGTCAGTTGTAGTTGGTAATATTGGAACACAACAGGTAATGATGAGGTCCTCATTTAAATAGTATTCTTTCATAATTTGGATTGTTATTGCGAACCCAATGAAAGGTTTCCACAGAGTCATCTCTATATGGTCAAGGTATTTAAACTTTTGTAAGATCACCTGTCCTATTGAATAAATACAACAGCTATTGTTCTCTGTGTAGTTAATTCACTGGGACCTTTAAATTTCTTCTAAGAGAAATCTATCACTCATTGATTAATTTACCTGAGTAAAAAAATCATCTTCCATAAGTAATAAATGAAAATACTAATTTTACTCATTTGTATTTATTCAATATTATTGTTATTGTTTTTTTTTTTATTTTCATGAAAGGATGTCAATAGTGAGTATTAAAAAAGAATGGAAATTAATCATTAAGCCAACAGGGCAGAAATCATTTCAATATATGCCCCAGTTATGTGTGTTATTATAATGTGTGTTTTTTGTTTCTTTTTTTTAAATACTGTAAACCAACTTATTTTCACAGATAGTTATTCATGTTAACTTATTCCTTTTACGTTGACTTCTCAGCTATGTATTTTAATAGATTTCTAATTTTCTTGCTGTATTTAACATTTTTACAACAATTTATTTTTACTCTTTTAATAAAAGACACAACACCACAACATTGCTTGCAAAATTAGTTGGTTTACATATTTACATATTTTTTGTTCTATTTGTATTTCTTTCAGCTGGATTGCATTAAATAAATAGGGGTAAATGCAGTGATGGATAAAAGATTGGTTTGTTGGCATTGAAAATAGAGTTCTTTTAAGTGTTTCCAATCTTCAAAAACTTTATAGAAGTTTTGCCATTATAATGATGAATTTTACATTTCTTATGAAGTTAGGAATTGTGGAAGCCATTTGTTATACATTTTTCAACAGAGTAATGTGATTTTTTATAGTATTGTTGAATAGGATATTGTCTCATATGTTTTTGTCCCATATGCTTTCATTGATAATAACCTTTAATTAATAGTCTAATAAAAGTAAATATATGAATATAAAAGCAGTATAGCAAACACATTTATTAACTTTATAATAACTATTCCGGTATCATTGAGTTTTGAACGCATGTCACTAAGACTATACATCAAACTTTTCACTTTATCATTTAAATCCTAATTATGTTCCACTGAAATGTTCATCAGAATCACTGAAGCTAAATATGTAGGGTTTCAAGTTACTATACTCCGCAGGTATTTGTGAAAAAAATGTTTTAGTAAATCCACAAAGTGCAAATCAACAATTAATCTGAATATGTGTACTGCTTCAACATTTAATCCTTACAAACTTATGAATATGTTATCTTTTGTCGCCAGCTAACAAGCACAAGTTTAACAAAATGACATAGAGTTATCTTCACTTAGAAATTATCACTAAAATTTTTAACATCAAACTTCTGTTGAAAAAGTCAAACTTTGTATAAAACAAATACAAGTTATAAGTGGTGATCCTTTATTTCATTTATAATAAATATGCTATAATTTATTTCTTTAAATTAATGTCTGAAAGGACTTGGTTTATTTATTTTGACATTTTTTCACAAACCTCTAAGCTTGATTATGATGTAACATATAGCATAAATGTAGGACATTCTAAATGGATAATAAGAGTAAATATTAGCATTGTCACTTCCAAGTTTTTTTGGTCCAACACAAAAAAAAATAATTTGAAAGTCACAAATTTCCTTAGGAACATAGCAAAATTTAACGTCAAAAACTTAAATTTTCTGTTTATAATCATAGTTGTTGAAAAAATTGAAAATCAAAACTTTGGAACAAAATTATGAGAAGCTGTAGACAATTTAGTAATAATTGGTGAATATTGCAAATAAAGTAGTTCAGTTTATTATGGCTAATATTGCAAATTGCCAATGCAGACAACTTTCCCTAATACATTCCAAAAGCCTACTAAATTATTAGATATTGAATAAATCAACATCACATATAGTTTTGTGTGTCCTTATTTAGTATTGGTACATGTATTTTTATCATTGAGAGTTCAATTTTTTGTTCATGTAAATTAATCAATGAGTGATAGATTTCTCTTAGAAAAAATTGCGAGGTCCCAGTGAATAAACTACACAGAGAACAATAGCTACTGTATTATTCAATAGGACAGGTGAACTTACAAAAGTTGAAATACCTTGACCAGATAGAGATGACTCTGTGGAAAACTTTCATTGGATTCGCAATAAGTAGATTATTATTATTATTATTATTATTATTATTGATTTAAGGCTGAAAGCAGGGGATTAAAAAGAAAAATTTTAAAAAATAAAGTACTGAATATAGTTGTAGTTTAAACTTTGATTTTTATACTTAAAAATGATTATTTCTGCATACCAAATACAAGAAATAACCGAGTTTAGGGAAGGTGGATCACACATATTGCTATTTTGTATTTATCTTGTGATTTGTGGCGTTTTTGCAATTCCTAATGTCAAAGGGCAGATAGATATAGTAGAAAGGAAAAAGCAATGTTTATTGTTTATTATGACCACAGATGGCGAAGAATTGAGGGAAACTTATGCTTGGTCGCATTTCGAAATGTTTCCATCCAAATTTCTCACATTATTATGTGCAAATTACTCTGACATGTTATTGTGAAGTGATAATGCTCAATATTGCATCGATAGTTTTTTATTGTACAATCTTAGAAAAATAATAGATGAATGAATAGAGAAAGGAAGGAGTCACAGTTTTTTTTTTTTTACTGTAGAACACTCAGTCTCGAGCATAAAAGATTCTTTTTAATAATTCATTCTTATTGTGAGATTATCTGCCCACATGCATTCTCTAAATTTGGGTACTAAAATTTCTGCAAATTTCTAGCTATAACTAATAACTACTACTACTCTATGATGAGTTTATCGATATTATCTTTTTTTGTATAATATCTAGTAGATGGTCGAACGTGTTTCTATTTTTCAATAGCATGAATTTGCTCGGGAAGAATATGGTATTCATATTAAGAATTTTTAAGATCTAGAACACTGTTAGAATATAATAAAAATGCAGTTGCTAGGTTGGTTCCTTAATCAGACAAAAATCAAATCTTAATCTAGCTTGTAATTTGAAATTGAGTTTTTGCTTATCTGCAATATTCACAATACTTGGTGTCTGTTGTAAGATGCTTTTGTATAAACCAAAGTTTATAACTCGAATGTGTCAAAGAAAGGTTTCATTATTTTCTTCTGGACCAGGGTGTAAGGGGATTATTTTCATTAGAAGAGACATTTTGTGTTTTTTTATGTGGTGTATATTTCCTTTTAGCAATTTTTTTTGTTATCTTTGTCTTTTTTGTAATTTCTTTATTTTTTGGGGGAAGGATAGGAGTGGCAAATGGATAAGTACATATAATATCTCCCCATGAACGTTAAATTTTTTGAAAAAGAAAAAAATCTGTTATCTCAAAAAATTAGACATATAATTCACGATATATATACTATTTATATATCATATCATATATTAGTCTAAAAGCTAAACACGATTCGTGATTTACTCAATTTATATTTTTCCTGTCCTAGAAACGACAATAATTTATTTCATTTAGCTCTATGTTTTTCCCGTATAGATAAAGTCAAGAATAATTAAAATGATTCTATGCTATATGACTGATGTTTATAATGTTATGCCTGCAGTCATTCAGTAAATTTACATTTGCTACATTTAAAACATAGAACATATACAAGGACGATCACAGTTTTATATATAACCTCCTTCATTGCGTCATTGAAACTTGATGTTACAAAATTTGGAAGATCACTTATAATTAAGGAATGTATCTCCCGCATGCTTAACTCTGAATCATTGTCCGTAATTTGGTTATCTGAGTTGTATCAGATCTTCAGCTTTGTATGATATTTTAGATTTTCAAATCCTTTGGTCTGGAGCATCCTTGGGGAGACATAAGTTGTCGATTCTAAAATTCAGTCCTATTTACTTCAATTTGCATCACCGAATGCGACTACTCATCGGAATTGTACTAACCGTGCTTTAGTTTAGAAAGAAATGCTAATTCCAAGTATAAGCCGCCATTTTGCAAGCGGTTCGTTTTCTTCGATTTTTTGTTTTGTTTATAGTGTTTTGTGGACTTGTGTTTGTTTATCGTCTTTTGGTTATGATGTTGTCTGTGTTCACCTCGAATTAATGTGTTTGTCTATACCATTTTTTTAAAATACGACGTAAATATCATTTAAGCTCCAGATCACATGATATTTCCCATATCTTTAGCAATGTTTGTGTTGATCATTTTTTAATTGTTTATATCGGGTAGATAGATTGTTTTGTTGTCTTTTCGACGTTTTTCTTTTTGATTTTCAATTTCCCATTGGTTTCTTTTATGTCCTAGCAATTGATAAGACGAATTTATACACAAGACAGAAAGACCAAAAACACACGAAACGAATTCTCATTATGATAAATAACAATTAGGATGTCATAAATTGAAAGCGGATTGAAAATTGGAAAAGAAAGTTGTTATATAGACAACAGAATACTCTGGATCCATTTATTTTCGTGTTTATTAATTTTCATTAATTGAAAGAATATCGAATTTGTTATTCGAAAAATATTGTCTATGTATTTATTCATTTTCTTATAGGTTGATATTCTAGTGGCAGCAGGTCCAAAGAACTTATTTTTTAGAAAAATCCGGAGGTGCAGGCTTGTCGCTTCTACATAGCTTAGGTGTAGATATTCAGCAGGATATAACGAAAAAATACCCTAAAGGTGTTCAGGAAGGTGAAATGGCTTGTGTTAAGCTTTCATCTCATATTGGGTGTTGTAAAGTTCTCTACTTAACATCCTTAAATGCTTGGAATGAACAGGAAAAAGTTAAAGACAATGACAAGGTAAGAAGACTAATAGATGATTATTTCTTTACCTTTGGATCCGAGAATAACAACCATGGAGAAATAATCATTGTAGTTGTAAACACATGTTATAAGAAAGATTTTGCGATTCAAAGACATTCTGGTGCTATGAACTTTCACTAAAGTGTGAGCTTTTGCTCCGTATTCAAAGTTCTTACTTTGACGTCACGTCATCACGAAGAACGACAATTAAGTTGTTGTACTTTTGCTTTGAAGTTTGTTATGTGCATTATATTATGCATAAATTAATACATCGTACCCTTAGGTCATTAGTTCTGAAATTAAAATCTAAAATCAGAACACACAAAAATATGATTTAAAGGAAATAGTAGAGCAGAATTTTTCCATCCAAAGTAAAAGAAAGTGGCTGTCCGTTGGTTTTCTTTGTAATTGATTCGTTCCTTTATGCAATTTATTGATATTTTTATTGCACCAGATGCATACTTCGACAATAAATGTCTCTTTGGGATGCTTGACGCCAACATAAGTGATAATCAAAAACATAATACAAACATTGAAGAGCTAAAAAAAAAAAAAAAGAGGACAACATCGTCCAAGACCGAGAGTTTAAACCTATTGGAATAGAGCCAACATATCGTTATCCATCATTGAAAAGAGTGTCATCATGTCACCAAAGACACTATTTGATGACATGAGGACACTCATGAGGAAATACATGAGGAACTGCTTGTCCCAAGCAAGGAATATGACAGTTGTTTTCATTTCGATTTTGTATGTAAAAGTTAAGATAATTAATCAGCTAGTTCATTTATATGATTTATAGCTTAGAGCTACTATATGCACAGGATTTATTTGTTTTTACAGTTTTGATTTAGAAGAAAAACCTGTTAGAAAATACAAATAATTACACCATTACTAACACAATTCTATATTTATATTCTTATAATGATTAGAAAATACATAAAATAACGCCATTACAAACTTAATCCCAATTTTATAATCTATTTATAGAAATTTACCTGTGACGTCACTTTTTGTGGCGTTGATACATTCGTTTGACGTGCAGTTCATAATTCAATTGTGATGTAAATGGGAGGTGTCCGTTGTTATTCTGTGGTTTACATGTTGCAATGTACAATTATATTATTTATTTTAGCGGTATTTTTAACATTGCTATATAAGCTGTAGGTTTGGCTAGCCATAAAACCAGGTTCAACCCACCACTTTTTTTAAAATGTCCTGTACCAAGTCAGGAATATGGCAGTTGTTATCAAATAGTCCTGTGTATTTTGGCGTTTGTTTTTGTAGCAGTTCAGTGTTGATGTTGTTCCGTTGTTTTCCTCTTATAGTTGATGTGTTCCCTCGGTTTTGGTTTGTGACCCTGATTTGTTTCAGTTAAATCTATTTTTGACTATTGAACACCGGTATACTACTGTTGCCTTTATTTGCCACTTGATAAGGGACTTTCCGTTTTGGATTTTCCTTGGAGTTCGGTATTTTTTGTTATTTTACTTTCCATCCTATTGTATAATCTTTTGAATACATGTATGAATATTGTGGACATTCATATATCATATTTTGAAAAAAATTAAGAAATCGTTAAAAGGGTTACACTCACACCTATTTCTATAATAAGAAACAAACTTCAGATACTCGCAAATCGATTGGTGTTCGTTTGTTTTGACCAATAACTCAGCTGACAATGTGGTTGTGGTATGACATAAATATAACATGGAAGTTCTTAAGAATAGCATTATAAATTCTTCTACTTTCAAATCTGCTGTCCACAGATTGTTGAATAGTAAACAATCATAGAATTACTACATTTCAGCTCTTGTAAGTTTTCTACAACAACTCTTTGAGCTTTTTTATGGTCGCAGTAGTTTTACAGTACATACTTTCATATTCGATATTTTCATATGTTTACAGCAAATCTACAAATTTGTTAATAACTGTCTTGTTGCTGCTGAAAAAGATGGGTATAGATCTATTGCTTTCCCAGCTCTTGGAACAGGCAATCTTCACTACCCATGTCATCTTGTTGCAAAGTATATGTTTGATATAGTAGAACAGTTTGCCAGTAACAAACAGAAAACTACATTGTCTTATGTATATTTTGTGGTTTACGAAAAGGATTCAAAGGTTATACAGGTATGCAAAAGATAATTTGACACAGTTTAACAATTTTTTTTATATTTTTGTAATTTGGTTTATTAAAATGATATCTGTGGAAATGTGTGAAATTAAACTTAGGTGAACTTGCTTGTTTTAGAGAAAAAAATACTCAAAATGTGGTTTCTCTGTCATTTTGCCGAATTTTTTGGATTAATTTATGATTTTCGTGAATTGGATTTGTTTGCAATTAAATAGTGATAGTTTAGTTTTATCTAATATCATGTACAATAACGCAAGAAACACTTACAAACCAGCAATATTTTTAAAACACTATCTAATTCAAAGCTTGTTTCAATTTTCAAATTTCAATGTCAAAATATGTTAAAGAAATGAATGTGTGGATGTTTTTACTCAAAAAGACAAACAAAAATGTTCCTTGAAATCTGTTTCCTTGATTAAGGTCTACAATTTTCGGATAATAACATTTTCAACATGTTATTTAAAAATACGCAACAATTCTGAACAGAATAACCATATATGTCATCTACGTGATATTTTAGAAAACAAACCATTTTCTTTGTAACTCATTTATTGAGCAATTTTGGAGATAGGTGATAAGATTCTTTTATTTCGGCATCATCAAAATTCAGTCATGTGATTTTGTCATTGTCATAAACATGAAAAGTAAACTTGGAATGAAAAATGTTTGCTATTACATTTACAGGCTTTTAAAGAAGAAGAGAGAAAAAGAGTACCCGGTCTACATTCAGTAAATGTTAAGTCTATAGCTGGCAATGGTTAGTGTGTTGTTTAATTATATTCGAATATTATTTTTTCAAGACTTTATTTGGTTGTTGAAATAATTAGCTGTTTGGTCATGTTGAAATAAGCTTATGACTCATAACTTGACCATTCAAATTTTCATTATATTTGTTCTTCTATCATTTCAGTGTTTCAAGTAGGAAATTTACAGTTATCTGTAGAGAAAGGCGATATTTTATCAAAAACGTGTGATGCCCTGTTGTATGGATCAAATGAAGAATTGGATTTTACAAAAGGTATATTGCATTTTTAAGGAAATCAAAAAGAGTATTTTCATTTAACTTTTTGCAATAAAAAACGTTAGACACTAGACACTTATTCAAAGTATAACGCAAAATAGTCCTAGGTTGTCATGACGAATGACAGGCTTTTTATAGATTGTATGGGTCGTAAATTGTCAAAGAACAGCCCATATAGAAAACATGAATGGTATTTGGCAGCCCAGACTTGGAGCGGTAAGATTTTGTCTGGAAATCGTTGTAATTCCTTTTCAAGCATATATCCTCGATTCTTTATTAATTTTACCCGACAAATATGTATCTTTTATTCACAAACAAAACCCTTGTGACTAGAACGAAAGCTTTATCCTCATCAAAACCCAACATCTTCAGCGACATTGTTTTACAAAATATTGAGATCTGGCGTGATTTTCTCACAGTATTTGTAATCATTGAAGCTCTTTAATGCAAAAAGGCTACCATGCGCTACGTTTGCATACTGTAGACTAGACGAAGAGGCAAACCTTCTTTAATATGTACAGGTTGCCGGGGTCATATACATTAATTCAAAAAATTATGCACACGGAATGAACTAACGCAGTCAAGTGACAACTTTTTGAAAGGGAAAAGACGAAGCAATAAAAGAGATAGAACTTTCGTGTTCGCTACGGGTGATAAGAACGTGACTGAAGATAACATATTTGTGGAATAATATTAATCAGGAATTGAACGATGTATGATTTATCTATTTCAAAATTGATCTAACACAATTTCGGGGATAGAATCGGTCCGAAATACAGTGTCCAATATTAGAACGATAGAAAGCATTATTTCTATATCGGAAGATCAATATTTATATTTTGTTTAGTTTTTTGTAGACTTGTTTTTTTCCGTCGATTTTCTTTTGGTCATAGCATTTTCTATTCTTTAACTTGTTGATTGTCAATTAGTATCAACTTCATTTTTACTACCAATTGGTCGATGTTAATGCTTGTTTATATTTTGTCAATTTGCCTTGTTGAGTAAACATGTTTTCAGAATACAAGAAAACATTTTTAGCTCGGACGTCGCCTAGTATAAAACGTTCATCAAGGACATGACGTTGTCTGGAATACCAACTGGAATCCCATAAACTCCAGATAAGATAAACAACTCTAATCTTTCATCATCAAAACAAATATTCGCACACGGCTGTGTATTATTTTGCTATGAGATATTTGTTTACTTTGTTTACTGTAACAATTTGATAACAAATGCTCAATTCAGCTGTGACTAAACAAATCTCTTTTCACCTGCATATTCGATCATCTCAATAGTGAATGAACGAATATTGTTGATATTTACCCTCAGGTATGTAATAACTCTTACCTCCCGATTCATTTTATGCATCATCCATTTACAAATATAATACGGCTGAACATGTTATAATAGGAGACCTAAGCATAGTCAACAATGAAGGACTTAGTTGCTACTCAAAGGCCTACCATATCTAAATCCCCAGCCCATCAACTGTGAGAACTTCATGATACTGATGAATTCAGTTGAGGACTAATCCAGAAATGATTACACGGGTTTGTAATCCTTTTAAGAAGCCCAATGTTTGGATGTTTTATTCTCTCTTCACGGCAAATATGTTGTTGTTCCAGCAGACAAAGCCTCAAACAGTATTGCAGTTACATGTAAAATTATTCTTTGGAATGTCTCACTAGAGAACTTGGAATTTACAGTAAAATAGAAATCTCCCATCTTTGTACTGATTACCAAAACTTCACAAATACCTTTGATTTTTCTATGCTTGCAACTCTCAACTAATTATATGAAGTAATAACTTCATCGTCTCATTAAACAGAGCGTTTTCTACAAAAAAAGGAAACGCAGTGAAAAATCATACTTTGTGAAGAACCACATTGATTCCCACAACAAATACACCGAAGACGATATCATCAAAATGATGGACTTCTTGATCGACAGCATATTTCTTGAGTTTGGTGGATACATATTAAACCACACATACATTTTAACACTGTACGGACTTGATTAACACTAGGACGTACGCCTTTCACACAAAAATGCTCCAACAGAGTTATGAGGAAGAACGACTGAAATTAACACTACATTAGTCTTACGGTCTCCATTGCAAATGTGTTTACCGATACGAAGTATTCGGTGTCTCAGCACACCGACGACATGTTTTCGCTGTCTTAGATTTTAAGATACCAGTATAGTCGTATGATCTGTAATTTTGCTAATTGTAACCTTTACCCGATTGTGATACTTAAACCTTGTGTGGATTTGCATGATGGTATGTGCATGCATAGCAGGAGACGCTTACCCTGTCGAAGCACCTGGTCTTGCTCTTTTGTGGAATTCTTGTGACTACTACCGCCCTATTTTTTTTATTCAAGTGTCGTTGAACTTAGGAGCAGACTAAGCAAAAAGAATGAACAGCTATAGATCAGACAATTACAACAATGCAAATGACATTTTAATCAACATATTAATCATTCTTTAGTGTTGATATTAGTTGTTTTTGTGCTTTGTATCGATCTGACGAGTTAAGCTTTTCAACTGATTTTTATAGTTTGTTCTTAATTGCGTGCAGTTTCATCACTATCCCAGGTAAGGGGAAGCTTGGGCGCCCGCAAACATGATTATATAATAATAATATTTTTTAATGATATATAATCAAGTCCCGCCTGCATCTGGGTGATTGAAATGCTCATTTTCAACTTTGCATCTTTATTTGATTTATTTATATGTTTGTTTGAATTTTGTCAGTTATGTTGTAAGTGATGTATGTTTACACAGTTTTGGCTGCAGGATCCCAATTATTGTTACTATATAAATAACACATAGCTGAGAGGGTGATAGAGCAGATTGTTACCTCGAGAAAACATTGTCAACTGAGGCGAAGCCAAGGTTGACAATGTCTTTTCGAGGGGTAACAATCTGCTCGATCACCCTCTCAGATATGTGTTATTTAATTTATTATTCTGAATATTATGTTATTACTGTCGATTAAATTTCAAATTCAAAGTAATAAAATATGACGTCTTGTACATAACATCCATCCGTATTTAATAAAGCGCACACTTGATCAAGCGTCTCCGTGAAGGGTAATAGAGAATTTACCATAGAATAGAGTAAATTAACACCCTCGTATAAGCCAATCAAAATATTGCATTTTTACGTGAAGTATAATAAATAAACCTTATTATATTTGTTTGTGTTGTTCGCCAAATTTTGTCAATATAACAGAGCTATACAAAACTGACATACAAGTGGTGGGTTTAGCTAGCTATATAAAACCAGGTTTAACCAACCATTTTCTTCAGAAAATTCCTGTACCAAGTCGGGAATATGACAGATGGTATTCACTTGTTCCGTTGATAGATAGCATGTGATTTTTGCATTTTTTATGACCGTCCTCTTTTTGAATTTGCCTTGGAGTTCGGTATTTTTGTTACACTGTTTTTGCTCCTCGACGCAGACGCATCTAGAGTAATAGTCATTTAACATAATCTAATTTTCATAAAGTTTATATATGTGACCTTCTGCCATGTATAAGAAGAATTGATGTGGCCATAAATCCACAAAACAACTATATTCACTGTCCCTTTCGCAGGTTGATATTCAGTCGAAATTAAACAATAAAAACGAATCTCTTTATTAGAGGAGGTAAAACTGACCAAGTTGGTATATTTGAATTGTTTACATCTGATTATTTGGCCTTTAAAAGTTAAAAGTAGGTGCATAATTTAGGGATTGTTTTTGCATTTTGTTTACGTGTTTATTCTCTAATTCTAATAAGGAGCTTCGATATATTTGTAAACTTTCAAACAGTACATTTTGATTTTTAATTTGCAGAAGTATTAATTCAACAGAAAGATAAAATATTGATCTTTTTAAAGCATTAATTTGCAATTCTGCCCTCGGCAATATTTTTTTGGTAGAAAATTTTAAAATTGCAGAACAGTTTTATCAAAAAGAGGTACTTGGGTACACCTTTTTATGTCCAGGCATGTTTGAGTTGACTGTTTTGTCTTGAAAACGTTTACAGTAAAAATATTGATACATCTGCTACGCGAAAGATTTATTCCACATTATTAACTTCTACTATTATCAGCATTCGAAATGAAGATTTAAAGTTACTGTGTGACAACCAACCCTAGGGGATTGAATGTTTTAATAATAACATATTTGTTAAGTTTGGTTACGCATTTTTGACAAACAGACGGCATTACTTTGGGAAGTAACCCAGTTGCCTTCATGCCGATTTGTGACTTTGATATTCTCCAAGAAACTTCTTTAGGGGATCATGAAGTAGTAAGCTTTATCCTTATAATCTATGTTCCACTATATTGGTAATGTCTTCCCATAGAAAAATATTAAAGGTTTCATGATTATGTTTATGGCACCCATCTCATTGAATCTGTAAGAAAGTATACAATTATGTACATCTAGAAATGACTGATGAAGGGCTAGAACTTTACGACTGTTCCAATCGCCAAATTTCCATTTGTGTGTAAAAATATTCCAGTAGCAGCTGCATATGGAGTATTTCGCAGCTGTTTCAATATTAAATGGCTTGTCTTTTCTATAGAGAGGTAATGCTTGCAAGGTAGCTTTTAACCAACTATTCCTAATGAATTATCATAATTGTAAACATTGAACTAGGAGCATTTGTCTTCACTTTCCCTTTGGTTTTGAAATTGTGTGTAGTGCTCAACTTTTAGTTTTTTGTATTTTGTTTTGTAATTTTTCTCGTGTCATGGTGTTGTCTGTTACTCTTCAATATATGTTTTTATTACCCCTCTTGTTATCTTCTCCCCCCTCCCCTTTTTGACCATTCAAAGCAAGTTCCTCTATTTATCTATTTAGATGTCTATTCTTTTTTTTTTTAACATATTGGGCTGGTGTCTTGTTAACATATACCTAATATTATTTTTTTTATTTTCCTAAAAAAAAATTATGGTACCTAGCAAATGAATCAGAAAAGCAATAATATTAGACAAGATTTAGAAGAAAATGTTTGTTTTCTGAAACGTGCTGTAAATCTGAATTAGTGCTGAATCGTGCTATACTGATCTATTTATATCTTTAAAACCAAAAAAATTTCTATTTAAAATTCCTTTGTAAACAAACAATTTGAATATTGTTAGTTCTTTGATGAGAAGTTAAACTAATCTTTAAATGTCTTCAGGTAACCTTTCCAGAGAATTAAACCGAAGGTGCAACACAAAGAAGCTTCAGTCTGAATGTTCAAACAAAAGTAAGATACAGAAATATTTTTAAACAATATATGAGTGTATCTATTAATTCTTATTACGATTTTAAGCTATTAGTTTCATAAAATTATTACGTAAAAAAATTAATACCGACTGGTATCCTGATGATGATGCGTAGATTCGATTGGAAAATGGGTTACAGAATTGAGGGAAACTTACAGAAAGGGGAAAAAATTATACAAGACGTATAACATAATGCGTATTTAAGACCCAATCGATGATTGTATTGCCATATTAGGATCGTGGTGAAAACACATTGTTGGATAAGCGTACGAGGGGGGAAGGGGTCTCTTCCTATATGAAGTTATATGCAGACATGTAGCGAGTATGGTATCTATTTTTAAATTTCACCTATATATGGGGTGCAATTTCACGGAGATGATAAAACAGTTGGTATAAATATGTATGCCAATGGGTCATAAATATTCATCTTCTGTTAAGTTGTCTGTAAAAACTATAAAAGAGAGGCGAAAGATACCAGAAGGATCATTCAAACTCATAAGTCGAAAATAAACTGACAACGCCATGGCCAACAGACAAACAACAGCACACAAAACACAACACAACACAGAAAACTAAAGACTGAGCAACACGAACCCCACCAAAAACTGGGGTGATCTCAGGTGCTCCGGAAGGGTAAGCAGATCCTGCTCCACATGTGGCACCCGTCGTGTTGCTCATGTTAGTACAAACCCGGTAATAAGTCTAATTCGGTAGGTCACATTCGGGCATTCTCTTTTTATCTGATAGCTGGGTAATAAATGAATGGGTGTTGATTTTCCTCTGAAAAAACATTATGGGTAGGGATTTTCGAATACACCAATATATGAATTGGAGGTAGTTTTAAAACCCAATACAGACGTTTGTTCCCAATTTACCCTCTCTAAAACCAACACAACAAACAAAAACTATTGTAATTTATGATACTACGAAGCACTCCGTGCATTTCAAAAGGGTTAAACTTGTTAGCATGATATTCGTTAGGAAAATTCACAGCCTTTCCAACAATGTTTGACAATTCATTTGTACATTTTAAAGAATGATGTAAAAAAGAACATGAAATGTAAGTAAATTTTCATCCAACAACGTTTCAAAATAAATCAATGTTTCATCATATATAAGAACATATATGAAATTCCTTAATAAAATTGAAAAATAAAACTGCCTAATGATGAGCTTGATTTTTTTAAATTACCATATGATTTAGAGCATTTAGATTTGTTATGAAGCTCCCGCATCTAATAAGTATGCAATTTGTATAACCTGGCATGTGAATATTTATAGAAAGTAAAATGAAATGGCATGGCATTATTACAACATCCGGTTGTGGTCTACCAGCAAAGTTTATTTTCCATGTTTGTTCAAAACATCGACCAGATGATTGGAAATCCATCATAAAGAAATCCTTGTACAAGGCAGAGAGAAAACAACTGAAGACGCTTTCCTTGCCTGCTTTCGGAACAGGTACTTTTTTTATATTATGCAAATAAAAAAGCACTTTCGGTTTTAGAAAATATATCTTGTTAAAGAAAACACAACTATCTTCCTGCATGGAAAATATTGAATTATAATCAAATATGAATATACGGATGTCCTGTTACCACTATTGGTATTTATGACTGTTCTAATTATAATAGTAGCTTATTGAATATATCCTTTTATTAAAATAATATACTTGGTGTACATTACCCAATTAACAAAATTTATACGAACAGATATCATGGATGACGTATGTGTATATCACTACAGCAAATAGCAAACACTGATTTGGTTTGGCTTGTGAATTGTCATGGCAACATTTAATCAAAATTAAAACAACCACAACATACATTACACAACCAAATTATTTGTCAGTCAAAGTAAAATCTTGACGACGATTGAACAAATCATTGTATCACAGCTGCGCGATCCAAAGCTGGTGTACTGAAGGGCGGTCCAGTCAGCAATTTTTCACAAGTAGCAACTAGGATATCCATAGCCTGCATAAAAAAGGTAAATTACGCTCCTGTTGTGTAAATATGTGTTCCATGATGTTACCATGACGGATAGATGTATGAAGATTGGAGCATCTGAAAAATAAACAATAACAGTAGCAAACAAAGCTCAATTTATAAGGCTCGAGGAGGGTGTGTCTTAATTTTCAAACGTCTTCTCAGCTTGGTTTAAAAGTGAATGTGAACTATTAAAGTGCATGAAGTTTTACAGCAAACTCTCACATGCTCGAATAAGCATAACAATAGCAGTAAAGAATATCTCGATTTGCCGAGCGTGTCAGTACAAGTATTTGCTAATTCAATAAAGAATTTAATTTTGATTTTAATTAAATTTTAATAATTTCAAATCCGAATTAGCTATGTATCTCATCATATTGTATTAAGAAATGCTTCGAATCCATATTCTAGGAGCACAAGGTCCAAGAGAGGAATTAATGGGGAAGGTTATCGCAGAATCAATTTTAGAATTTGTCAAAGAGGGACAAACGACTCATTTACAACACATCTACTTAATCATATTTCAAGATAAAATGGTGCAGCCTATGTTGAAAGCAGTGCGTTTTTCTTTAAAACCAGATACAATGGATCAGTACACATTGACAAAAGGCAATTCAGCTTTTAGAGAGAAAAATGTTCAAAAACAAGATTTGCCTGTTCTTCCAGTTGTAGGTTAGTACATAATTATATAGGACCATATAAGGGAAAGTAGCATACCGACAAAAACAGTGTCGGCTCAATTTTTTGGACAAAACAATCAATTAAAAATTTCGTCTATTACCCTGGGTACAGACTAATCATGAAAAAACACACATATTAATTACCACCTAGCCATGTCGAAATTTTGGGAATTCGATTTATTCAAAATCTTCTATTCTATACACTACATACGAAAACTGACTAAAAAATTTCATCTGTAAAAAGATTTTGTATCTCATTCATTCTAGGGGTTTCTATTTGCATACATCTTTTTCTCCATTCGGGGGAGTTTTCCAACATCTATTACTGTTAAGGATGAAATGGACGAAAGGAAAAAGACATTGTATAAAATGTTCATCTATCTTTATATGGAATATCGATAATAACCACATGACGATAGTAAGCCAAACGGTAAAAAGAATGATTTTATTACGGTTCTTCAACTTTCAACAAAATTTCATTTACAGTTTCATATACAAAAAAAATGTCTTACAGCTAATTTTACTACAGACAATCCCGTTTTCGACCAAGAACGGAGTGGCAATCAATGTATTTTGCGGTGGTAATGTTAAATGTCGTTCTTATTATTAATGTCTTAAAATACAAACACACATAACAATAAACATAAACTTGATTAAATGCCGCTGAAAAAAAAAATCGTTTTGGTTATAAAGGGAAGTAACTTAGGGTAAAAATTATCATTGATTCGACTGTTGACTTATAATAATAGTAATTTTCTGTTTAGATGTTGAGAACACTAACCAGTCGTCTGTAACATTTATAATCTACTTTCAATCCGGAAATGATTTAAGTGTGGCTAAGACAATGTTGGAACAAGCAATATCAGAAAAGTATCAGACAGAGAAACGACATGACGGTGTCATCGCAAACATAACACAAAATGAAGTAAGTAATGTGGTTAAACTTCTACATGATCGATATCGCAAAAGGTGGGCGTTCTGTTCCCGAGGTAACCATCTGTCTTGCAAAAGTCAGTGCTTCTGTATTTGCATGATTAAAGATACATTTTGTTTGTAAAGTTCATAGTATGATGTTATTGTAATAAAATGATTATAATTTTTTTCTACACTTTAAGACGACAAAACAAAAGTAGTTTAGAAAGAGGACATATTTTTCCATATGCAACTTTTTTCAATTTTAGGAGCTAGACGATTCTGTTTGAAAATTTGCATTTAATAAACTCTCTTTTAGGTCGACTATTTAAAAGCAGTTGAAAATAGACATGCAGTTATAATGACAGTAGACAAGGTGAAATGTGACATTATCATAAAAGGTCTTGTTGACGAAGTAATGAATGCAAAGCAAGATATTTTTGATGCCCTAAGAAAGTTTAGCCACACTCGACATTGTCAAGCAGAAGCTGCAATTATCAAAGAACAAGTCCAGTGGTATCTAAAGTTAAGTATTAGCAGCAAAAAAATATTTTACATGATCCGAAATATCTATCAATTAATGAACCACTAGTTTTTTTTTTAATCTAGGTTACATATTTTTACAGTAACGTAATGAAAGTTCAGGAAGCATTATTCCTTAAAATAACTTGAGAATAAACATATACTGGATAATCATTTACTGAATGTTCGTTAAATCCAATGACTTGTTCCGGATGAATGTTAAGCTTTTTGCACGTTGAAGAATCATTGAAACAACTTAGATGGCCTGTTGTAAAGTTAAAGTTTTAAACTATCCAAAATTCGAACCTTTTTCTTTCCCCCGCCTTTCACCTCGGTCGACCTGCCTGGCAGTATCTACTTATTGTCTCATATATAATGTTCTCGTCCTTAATATTTATGACATATTTGCCACTGGATGTTAAACTAGCAGCAATACATCCAATTGTCTTTAGTTGAAGAATTCTTGAAAAACATGTTTTCTTAAATATTGTAGGATATTGATGATAAAGGACTTCCTACTTTAGAAAAATATCCTGATATGATAAACATGTATCTGGAAAACGCTTACAAAGGAGATTCTGGACGGACAGAAGTGGAATTCAAAGATGATCAGGGAGAGGAGTATGTTATAGTGCTAATAGAAATGACTGAATATTTAAAGAATGACAGGTCTAATAAAGTAGATGTTTTGCGAAGAGAAAAGCTACAAGGTTTGTAACTAAAAGATATTTCTGTTGCATCGTACGTAAAATCGGTACATTCAATGACTGCATCAACAGTGTCGATAGTCGGTCTTTGACTGTTCGTACATTAAAAAAAACTCAGTTTATAGAGATCAAATCTCAGCTAAAACTATGTTTTAAGTGTATGTGGTTAAAAGTTAACAATCCATAACTTACACTTCCTTTTTCATCGTAGTTGGGTCAATATGTCCCATTCTACTTGAAAACAAACGGGTTCCACAATTAGTACAGTTAGGTTTTTTACATTTAACTGATGACTGCAACTATCTGTTGCGAAAGAAGAATGCTTTTTAAATGTATGAGGAGAAAGACCTTTACACACCTCATGACTTTCAAAATCAAACAATGGGTTTGCGATGGGTCAGCTTTATATTTTAATGTAAGGTGAGTAAAAAGATAGTTAGGACAAGATGAGAGCTCATCATGACGACACTAAATGTATTACTTTAAATTATCAATGGCGACATTTTAATATCTATTAAGCTACAGTCATGGAATATGTGAATGCTATACAGTGCATCTCCGAGTGGAAACGAAATTTCAGTGCATTCATTTATTATCAAGATCATTTGCCTGTACCAAGTCAGGAATATGACAGTTGTTGTCCATTCGTTTGATGTGTTTGTGCTTTTGATTTTGCCATTTGATTAGGGACTTTCCGTTTTGAATTTTCCTCGGAGTTCAGTTTTTTGGTGATTTAACTTTTTGCATACAGGGTTGTTTTTACAAGGTAGCTTCTTAACAAATGAACGTATATTTGGAAGTCCCTAAAACACGTTCTTAAAATGTTTCTGTTGACCAAATATTTGAAATACACAAGGAATGGCCCATTAAATATAAACAGTTGTAGAAGGCTAATTTATGCATAAGCATTTTTTTTTTATCTTTCCTCTTTACATAGAAAAAGAAATGAAATTGAACGATGTGTATCAGTCAAAAATTTAGTATAAATATCAGTAAAATATTAAATGAACAGTGCTTTATTGCTGTCAATCGTCTTGACAGTTGCTAGAATGTAGTCAATGATGAAAGCTAAAAGCTCGCATCAATTTAAAAACGTTCCTATCGTAGATATAAGTGTAACCTTAAGAAATCCATCGTTAACAATGACATATATTACTAAAAAAATATAGATTGTAGTAATCCATCCTTTTTGTGAATAATTGGTTTTTTTTTATTATTCATATACATATTTTACCCATGAAAAAACAATCACAGATCTCATATATAACTTTTGATTTTAGGAGATGCTGGATCTTTTAAACCGCCATCAGAATGGGATGTTCTAGGATCTGATAACGTTAAAGTGGTAACAATGATGAATACATCGCAAGAATTCAAAACTATCGAGAAGATGTTCTTGGACTCTGTATTTGGTGGAAGAAAAGAGTGGGTCTCCCAATTCAAAAAACAGTCTTTAAAAATTACAAAGGTTGGTGATGCACATAATATTCTTTTATCGCATGGTAACCTCAAATCGTCTGCACTTTTAAAAGTAAAAGGCACGTATTTTTTTAATACCATTTGTACTAAAATTACAACCAAAACACCAGTAACCAAAGATCCCGATATGAGGCATTAAACTTTCTTAGCAGGTATGAATTTGATTTTGATGTATACAAAATGACCTATTTAAATGGCGCGTCAAGTGAAAGCAATAAAACAATATAAATTCAATGATCTTCATTTCCTAGATGCAAAACATCATATAACAACAATGAATGTAACTTGCACAGTGACGTGAATGATCAATTGAAAAATTGGTGACTCATAATCCCGCTTCAAACATGTGAGAAAATGGCAAAATCTATCTTCATCAACGGAAATTATCACTCCCCAAAAAAACACTCGGCGATTTTTTTTTGTTCGAATTGTTGACTATGCGAGCTGTGTTTATCCTGATGTCGAATGGAAACGAATGGTAAAAGTCACGTCAAAAGTGTGATAATTATGGCAGTTGCTTTGAAAGTTAAACGATCTATTGAATTATACCAAATTAATGGCCTACTCAGAAGTATTTTGATAAGTAATAGATGCCGAAAAATTATAACATCATCAATTGGGAATGTTTTCTTATTGTATAGATGAAAAACACTTAATAATGATTATAAATATGTTTTCACCTTGAAGCTATTGTGAGAACCATTTTAGTGCAAGTACACAATAAACAAAGGTATATAATGTAAAATTCTTGAGTATCGCGATTGTTGAATATAGTTTCTTAGTAGTGGCGGCATGTCTCATGTATTACTTACGATTGATGGTTCGTCTCTCAAGACATGCGAGCAAGGTGACTGTAACATGAACTACTCATTGACTGTTATATTAGATCTTGTTTTTCAGATGATTTGGTCGTAAAACAGAGACGAAAGATACCAAAGGGATATTCAAACTCATAAGTCGAAAACAAACTGACAACGCCATGGCAAAAAACGAAAAACGACGAAAAGACAAACACCAATACACAAAACACAACATAGAAAACTAAAGACTGAGCAACACGAACCGCGCCAAAAACTGGGGGTGATCTCAGGTGCTCGTAAGAGGTTGGTTAGGTATGATGTGCAGGTCAAAAGTTATTATGATTACTGTTATTCTGTTTTGTATTATCTAGTATTTTCACACAACAATTTACAGTGACTTGTTTGTCATTATTGTTTCTCTCCAGAATCTTTTGCAGTTCTTCAAAACTCTGACCCAATTGTAATTTGTTTCATCAAAGCGGTTGTTCAACTTGTAAGAAATATTAACAAATTGCTGTAGAACAACCACAGTCAAATCATCAATGTTAGTATTTCAAAGTTCAACAAGTCATACTTACTAATCATTTAGATTTGAACTCCACTTCCTCTGTTTTGAAACTGTACCTATGCATTTCTTTATAAATATCAGTTGTAAATTCTTATCAAAGGTACGATATAAAATAAGGAGATGAGGTGTGATTGCGAATGAGACAACTCTCCACCAACGTTCAAATAAAGTGGATGTAGTCAGTTTTAATTTCTATATTAATTTTAAATTTAAGTTTTCATACTTTTTCGTTGAAACTGTCTTTTACATTTAAAAGAGACATACATTTGAATTAAAACATGTAATATTTGATATCATCTACCCCCTTTTGATGCTTACAAAGTGAGTTACATGGGCGCCGTCATTTGTGAAGGCAACATGATATAGAGATGAAAATAGCTAGCTGTCTGTGATTGGTTTTTATTTCATTCCCATATTTTTCTCATGAAAGCATGACAAGTAAATTTTCATGCAAGCAGGAATTTGTCCTGAAAAGTTTGCTATTAAGGAATTTATTTTTTTTTATCCACATTTTGGAAAATTTATGACATTTTTAGGAATCGCAAAGAATGGAAAATAAAAATACACCAAAAAAAAGCCATGGGACCTTATGTATTAAAGTGAAAAAAAATTCCAAATTTATATCGCTCACAACAGCTTTTCTTTAAATAATCTGTTTATTTAAAGCTATATTTAAGAAATTGTTTGCTAAAAGATAAAATTGGCAAAGGACGAAAATTAAGTATATATAGAGATTGAACTTTCATACTTTTCATTGGAACTTCATGAACACGATTATAAGCTAAGATTTATTTCACGGAGTATCTAAGGTTTCATCTAAAGAAAATTCTGTAACATATGAAGAAAAATTGTATATTATAAGAAATAATTTCAATAGAAATTTTATGGCAATGCAAAAATTAATATATTGTCTTTACAAATAACTTTACAATAAATATCTCTTGAAAATATAAAAACACGATAATTGTAAATATTATGTGGATAACGAATCTAATAGATTGAGGCGATAGTTGTTAACCGATATTAAAATATCTTAAATCGATTAAGAAGAGACAAATCAATGTAACTAACGATTAAGTGAATGTATTTCATGAAGACCAACAGAAGAGAGACCTAGTGCTACGATAGGGTAAACGTCTTCTACTATGCATTCATCACCCGCCATGTGAATTCATTCTCAGTCAAAATGTTACAATGGGGAATAGGACACAATCGGTACCATTACATATTATATCACCATACTGGTACCTAAACAGTTAAGACCACGAAAATATGTCGCTAGTGAGTTGAGACCCCGATATGTCGTCTAGGTCAGCCAATTTGTGATGGTAACCGTACTACTTATGTTGTGTCGATTTCAGTTGTTCTTCCTCAGCAGTCTTTTTTGTGTGTAAGGAGTACGGCCCTTTTAATGACGTCCATAATAGGACTGTAAAAATGCTTCTTTTTACCTCGCCTTTCTAATATCGAAAACGTTTATATCGGTTTTTAAAAATATTTGATTTGTTGAACAGTTTCATTTTATAAAAAAAAATGACAAGTCGCTAAAAAATCTTAATGAACTGCAAAAGGTGGAGCGAAACACTTATGATTTAGTGACAGTAATTCTCTTTTGTTTTCCAACTGGGAAACTGTAATACTTTATAATTCTAGATAGAGAGAATTCAGAATCTAAGTCTTTATCAGATGTATACTGCAAAGAAAGGTTTAATCGAAAAACAGAATCCGTCTGGCACGGCAAATGAACAGGAATTATGGTATAGTGCATTTGATGACTCTGTTGTCAGCATTAACCTTTATGGGTTTAATAGGAGTTACTGTGGAGATCTATGTAAGTATTGTTCTACCAGTTTTACGTTTATATCAGTTATTATATAAGACGTAAAGTTTGTTATTTTACACATTCACTGAAAAAAAGAGATTGAAAATATTACGGGACAACCGTAGACCTAGACCAAAGAAATACAAGATAATACCATTGCCTCAAGAGAAAAACGACAATTGCGGATGGATAATAGATATAAGAAGATGTGGTATGAGTGCCAATGAGACAACTCTCCATCCAAGTCAAAATTTATAAAAGCAAACCATTAAAGGTCACAGTACGGTCTTCAACACGGAGCCTTGGCTCACACCGAACAGTAAGCTATAAAGGGCCCCAAAAATTACTAGTGTAAAACCATTCAAACGGGAAAAACTAACGGTCTAATCTATATAAAAAACGAGAAACGAGAAACACTTATGAACCACATCAACAAACGACAACTACTGAACATCAGATTCCTGACTTAGGACAGGTGCAAACAAATGCAGCGGGTTTAAACGTTTTAATGGTACCAAACCTTCACCCTTTTTCTGAAACAATAGTGTAACATCACAACATAGAAAGACACACTATAAAATATCAACTGAAATAGCTTAACTCAATCAAAGGACATATTAACACCATTGAACATACACTGAACAAATAAATTTGACGTATGATACAATGTAAATACAAAATAAATGAACTAAGGGAAGAATAATAAAAGTAACATGTTATATCGGTAAGAAATGTTAAACAATTAAAGAAAAACAAGATGCTCGAACAAAAATATCAGCCATTTGCAATAACTTTAAACACAGGTAAATGAAAATAATTTTGTTGTTAGGTATACGTGTACAGTACCAATAGAGAAAGGAAATATTTTACAAAATAAATAATTTTGATGTTCATAGTACGAAGTGAAAATTTATAGTAATACCAAACACTTATCAAAGCTGGTTTATAGACCAGATATAACCCTGAATAACATTAAATAACAAAAAAGCAATACAATTAGTATCAACAGGTCAAACATCAAATTAAAAAAAAACATCGGAAGGTGTAAATTGTCTGGCCTTAAGATGTGAAAGTTTGAAATGGGAACAGGATTTTTAATAAAACATGTAAACAAAACGTTTACCAGTAGATACAATACAGACATTGAAAAATAAAGAGCACAAAATACAGCACTGAAAACTAATATCCGCCGTGTTGTTCATTGCAAGTACAAATTTTGGTGATAGGTCGCATTCTGTGAAGATATATATGGATAAAAGAGGAATGGGTAGTGGTTATGACAGGTTATACAGATGCATGGTCATCTGTAACACAGCTATTCTATGAGATTGAACCAATCATGGTGACGTCCGTAAAACGTCGAAGGGAAATACTTCAACTTAATCGTTTGGAACTATTGGTTTGATAGCTTCTTTTAAAGCAGCAACCTCGAAATCATCTAATTGCCGTAAAGTTTAGGTCTATACTGAACCAAAAGTCAGGTTCAAGATGTAAAGTTTTTTACTTTCGAACTTACTATAGATCCATCGACAAAACAAAAATATTTCGGCTAGATTTTTTTCATTTGATAATTAGGGTTTGGATGCCATCAATATTAGCAATAGGTTCCACAAAAATATGTGCAGAAAACAATACCTGATTACTGATAAAATTACACCTGTCAACTAAGATACACCAAACTTATTGCTTCCAAGATTTTCATCCTTAAGAGGATTTTAAGAGACCTTTACCCTTTATCCAAAATCCAAACCTTACGATTGCTTCTTATGCATTGATCCCATACATATATAGTCCCGTTGAACATGATATAAATGGAAACCTTGGCATTGTAAACAATAAACAACTTAGATAGTTTTTTAATCAAAGACCCGAAATATCGACTAGAAGGAGAAGTTCAGGTTACTGGTGGATGCAGTTGAGGACTATGCCAGAAAATGGGTAAAGCGCGAGCCCAATCAACCAATATTGAACAATTTATCTGAATTGATCAAAACTGTTCAGACATGCATTCAGAAGCATATTCAAAATCTACAATATACAATGAGCTCAATGGTTTCTGACCCTTTCAAGAAGCCTTAGGTTGTGAATCCTCAATTCACGGCAAATATGTTGTTGTTCCAGGAGATTGTGTTGCCATATGCAAAAATTATTATTTGGAATGTCTGACTAAAGAAATGTAAATTCACAGTGAAACCAGAGTTTCCACTTACACCACTGCATTATTAAAGTATGAGTATCGACGCACCCGGTTTCGCTCCTTTTTAATTAATGAGATTCTCTCGGTTTTTGTTTTTTACCTTTGTTTGTCGCGTTCGTATCGATGTACGAAATTTGAACACCGGTAAACTCCCTTAATTTCTCGTAGTATATATGAAATGTCGATTCACAAAACATTCTGTATAGTACATGTACCTTATGCAAATGATCTGTTACATACAATCTAAAACTCTTTCATCATGCAATAGCATTAAAACATTTCACTTTTCTACCCTTTACACAAGTATTACCCATTTCAAACTAAAAAAACAAATTAAAAGAGTTGGTCTTGCTTTGTTTCGTTTAAAATAATAGCCAACGTAGATGCAAGGAGGAATAAACCGTACTTTGTAAAATATCACTCTACTTCAAACAAAAAAAACCAAGATGTTTGGTTTCTTGATTGACAACATATTTGTTCCGTTTGGAGGGCGTCTTTTAAAAAAAAACGGCATTCCCATGGGAACCAGCTATGCTTCTCTTCTTGCCGACTTTTTCCTTTATTTATATGAGGCTGACTTCATACAATAGCTTCTAAGGAATAATGAAAAGAAGCTAGACTTATTCTTTAACTTCTCTTTCCGCTATGTTGAAAAAAGTAAAATCACAAAAATTACTGAACTCCGAGGAAAATTCAAAACGGAAAGTCATTAATCAAATGGCAAAATCAAATGATAAAACACATCAAACGAATGGATGTCCTCTCACTTAATATTTCAAAGTTTGGTGACTATGTTGAACGCATCTGTCCCATCGGACTTGAAATAAAGGATACAACATACGATATTCCAGTACTTGCATTTCCAATTTCGATTTCCTTGATAGAAAGTTGCTGCTCACAGGGAAGCTATTAAACCAAGAGTTTCAAATGGTGAAGTTGAAATCATCCCTAAGTAAATTTTACGGACGCCATCACGAGTTGGTTGACCGTTATGGAACATCTGTTTCACAGATAACGACGGATACGTTCCTATTGTCGTAACCACAAGCCCGTCCTCTTTTCCCCGGATGTGTACTTCCGAATTACCGGATTTGTTCTTACATGAGTAACACGACGGGTGCCACATGTGCTTACATTTCACCCCTGGCTTAAGGGTTCGTGTTGCTCATGGTCTTTAGTTTTCTATGTTGTGTTTTGTATATTGTTGTTTGTCTTTTGCTCTTTTTTCTTTTTTTGACATGGCGTTGTCAGATTATTTTCGACTTATGAGTTTGAATGTCCCTTTTGGTATATTTCGCCTCTCTTTTATGTCCCTTTGGTATACTTCGCCTCTTTTTTGCAATGGGTGTGAAATACACACATGCTAGTAAAAATGGTTGAATTTGTATGTATTTTAAAATGTATGCCACTTCTTTTGGTATATTACTGTGAACGATGATACTTTTGTTAGTATGCCATACAAATAGCTGTTTGCATTATCGTGAAATTGTAATAAATTATATTAACGAAACGCATTAATGTATGAAAATTCCAGTCACTTCTTCCTTAATAGTATGCCACATAAATCTATTTCTTATCATTTAAAACTCCCAAAAATCTGCATTCATGAGATTTATGTCGATTAATGATGTTCAAGATGAACAATTATGTTACATGTTTCATTTTTCGGATTAAAACTCGATAGCTGCATTCTAGTGTATACCATATATAAATGGTCTCACATGTTTCTTTGGTGTCATTTGTGTGATATGTCCAACAGAAAAACTTTTTTTTTATTGTAAATAAATAACTACTGCAAATATAAAGATGGTTAAAACAACTGGTCTGCATAACATTTGCAATTTAGTGCATTACATTTTTTTTATGAATTGCAGACCAAAAAACTAAATTAAAAAAGAAGAGTGATAAAAAGTCAAATGATCCAAAAGACAACCCATACGAAGGTAGTATAATTTTTGTACTAGTAGTTAAGAGTAAGATCGCGTTATCTAATTACATATTAAAAGCTTAACATCTCATATTAGTAGTACCTGAAATATTCTTTCGAGAAACCAGTTAGATTATCATTCTTTATTGCAACATAATTGTACTATCAAAAATAAAAAGTGACCTAAATCAAAATTCAACAACGCCGTCATTCTGTGGAGTCGTTGAATTTTTCAATACCTAGATGTCAATTATTTACTTGTATCGATTAAGAAAACTTTATTTCAAAGATACCGTTTCAAACCTGTTAATCTTTTATGTATATCAAAGTTTTGAAAAAACAATATTTTCATTGTCAGAGAATGTAAAATTTATTTGTATCTATTACGAAATAGGAGAAAACATGTATTTACAAAAATACCAAACCAAAGGTAAATTCGAAAAAGAGAAAGTCCATAAAAGCTGACAAAAATCAAACGTTTGACTATATCAATCAGCGGCAATCAGGTTTTTTCTATCTGTTTCGAAATCTTGTACGTTTTTCCTTCTTTCCAACTATGAACGTATATTGTTGTGTTGATCCAATTGCTTTATGTGCAAAACTTATTTTATTTCTGTTTTTTTTCTATTCAGAAAGAAGTTATTCTAATTATTTGTTAATTTTATTGTATTGTTTTGAAGAGTAAAATATCTTCATAGTTCCAGACACAATCTAATTTACTGTTGTATTAGGATACAGTGAACCTTGTATAAACATTTCCCCTTTTTAGTAATCGAAATTTTTCGGATAAGTTCTATGTCTGTTTACACAGTATAAATTGATAAAACTATTCATTGCGTGTCTTATTGTGCTTTGAACAGCAGATGTTATGTGTGGATTTGTAATTCATGGTGTGCGAATAGTCAAAAATCAATGAGAAAATGCCATGAACAATACTGAACATTGGATAATTAGTATAATTTTGAATAAGACGAAGGACAAAAATGAAAGAACGCCAATTTCAACTCATCTCCAGCTCCCCGTATCGCCTTACCATTAGTCAAAGATCATACGGTCGTAAAGCTTTCAGTCGCCTCAAGTCAGTCAAATGATGAAAATTTCAGAGAAAACTTATGTCTTTTCTATGACAATAAATAAAGGCAACAGTAGTATACCGCTATTCGAAATTCTTAAATCGATTGAGAAAAAAACAAATCCGAGTTACAAACTAAATAACAATAAATTAGAGGCAACAGTATTTTACTGATGCTAAAATCACATGAATAATTTAAGGAGATAGAAATGATGATAAAAAAAAACCAGAGAAATGGCATGAATTCCAAAAGGAGTGAGACTAACTTACAAGTTTACTGTCAACATCATGAATTAATTACCGATATGATATGTCTGTGTCTAAATCCACTAGAGACATGTTACGCATAATCAGGTTCATATATGCATATCTATTATATTGAATGTTTTCTTGTTTCCTTTTTGTTACCATAATAATTTGGGAAATACGCACGTTACCATTGTCCATTAAGAATATTCGGATTCTCTTTATTTCTTTTTTTTTGTAGGGTTTTGTGTTGCTTATTCAGGGTTTATGTTGATTTAGGCGTAGAAGTCATGGTTACTTTTCAGTTATATATATATATATATATATATATATGAGTCTAAAAGATTGTGTAACAATACCGATTATCGGTATTGTTACACAATCTTTTAGACTCATATAATTTTCCCTGTTTGTGTAGTGTTGTCAATTTTGATGATCCAATACCTATTAAGTTTACTGGTTGGTAGATTCTTATAGACTTATATATATATATATAGAAAAGTCTAAATTGAAAACAATGTTCAAACCTATGATTGCGTTGGATAAAAACCGCAATTTTTATACGTGTGCATGTAAAACAAATTTCTTGGTAGAGGGGTCTAAATACAGCACAAACAACAATTTCCAAAAGACCAAAAAAAGTGAAAAAGTCTATTGTAACAAAACGCATTTGACTAACAGGTCGAACAACTGATGTTCTTAAACCCTGATGACTGCCATTGGCGATTGCCAAATAAATTGATCACCAGATCTGCCGAAATGGATCTTAATATTAATTTAATACCAAACAGAAAACAATAAACTTGTGGAAAAGATGGTATACCACAAACATTAGGTGCAAAAATTTGTACTCCATATCCGGATTTCGACAATTATTGTCTCTTCAGTGATGTTAGGGATCGAAACGGTATTTGGAAGGCCATATAAATTACCTCAATTTAGGATAGACTCTTGAATTTTAAAGAGTCGAAATAGGATGAACGGATCATATAAACCCGAAGGAAAATATAATACAAGCCCAAACGAAAAAATATATAAGTCTAAATTGAAAACAACGTTCAAACCTATGATTGCGTTGGATAAAAACCGCAATTTTTATACGTGTGCATGTAAAACAAATTTCTTGGTAGAGGGGTCTAAATACAGCACAAACAACAATTTCCAAAAGACCAAAAAAAGTGAAAAAGTCTATTGTAACAAAACGCATTTGACTAACAGGTCGAACAACTGATGTTCTTAAACCCTGATGACTGCCATTGGCGATTGCCAAATAAATTGATCACCAGATCTAACCAAATGGATCTTAATATTAATTTAATACCAAACAGAAAACAATAAACTTGTGGAAAAGATGGTATACCACAAACATTAGGTGCAAAAATTTGTACACCATATCCGGATTTCGACAATTAATGTCTCTTCAGTGATGTTAGGGATCGAAACGGTATTTGGAAGGCCATATAATTTACCTCAATTTAGGATAGACTCTTGAATTTTAAAGAGTCGAAATAGGATGAACGGATCATATAAACCCGAAGGAAAATATAATACAAGCCCAAACGAAAAAATATATAAAAGTCTAAATTGAAAACAACGTTCAAACCTATGATTGCGTTGGATAAAAACCGCAATTTTTATACGTGTGCATGTAAAACAAATTTCTTGGTAGAGGGGTCTAAATACAGCACAAACAACAATTTCCAAAAGACCAAAAAAAGTGAAAAAGTCTATTGTAACAAAACGCATTTGACTAACAGGTCGACCAACTGATGTTCTTAAACCCTGATGACTGCCATTGGCGATTGCCAAATAAATTGATCACCAGATCTGCCGAAATGGATCTTAATATTAATTTAATACCAAACAGAAAACAATAAACTTGTGGAAAAGATGGTATACCACAAACATTAGGTGCAAAAATTTGTACACCATATCCGGATTTCGACAATTAATGTCTCTTCAGTGATGTTAGGGATCGAAACGGTATTTGGAAGGCCATATAATTTACCTCAATTTAGGATAGACTCTTGAATTTTAAAGAGTCGAAATAGGATGAACGGATCATATAAACCCGAAGGAAAATATAATACAAGCCCATACGAAAAAATATATAAAAGTCTAAATTGAAAACAACGTTCAAACCTATGATTGCGTTGGATAAAAACCGCAATTTTTATACGTGTGCATGTAAAACAAATTTCTTGGTAGAGGGGTCTAAATACAGCACAAACAACAATTTCCAAAAGACCAAAAAAAGTGAAAAAGTCTATTGTAAAAAAACGCATTTGACTAACAGGTCGAACAACTGATGTTCTTAAACCCTGATGACTGCCATTGGCGATTGCCAAATAAATTGATCACCAGATCTAACCAAATGGATCTTAATATTAATTTAATACCAAACAGAAAACAATAAACTTGTGGAAAAGATGGTATACCACAAACATTAGGTGCAAAAATTTGTACACCATATCCGGATTTCGACAATTAATGTCTCTTCAGTGATTTTAGGGATCGAAACGGTATTTGGAAGGCCATATAATTTACCTCAATTTAGGATAGATTCTTGAATTTTAAAGAGTCGAAATAGGATGAACGGATCATATAAACCCGAAGGAAAATATAATACAAGCCCAAACGATAAATATATAAAAGTCTAAATTGAAAACAACGTTCAAACCTATGATTGCGTTGGATAAAAACCGCAATTTTTATACGCGTGCATGTAAAACAAATTTCTTGGTAGAGGGGTCTAAATACAGCACAAACAACAATTTCCAAAAGACCAAAAAAAGTGAAAAAGTCTATTGTAACAAAACGCATTTGACTAACAGGTCGACCAACTGATGTTCTTAAACCCTGATGACTGCCATTGGCGATTGCCAAATAAATTGATCACCAGATCTGCCGAAATGGATCTTAATATTAATTTAATACCAAACAGAAAACAATAAACTTGTGGAAAAGATGGTATACCACAAACATTAGGTGCAAAAATTTGTACACCATATCCGGATTTCGACAATTAATGTCTCTTCAGTGATGTTAGGGATCGAAACGGTATTTGGAAGGCCATATAATTTACCTCAATTTAGGATAGACTCTTGAATTTTAAAGAGTCGAAATAGGATGAACGGATCATATAAACCCGAAGGAAAATATAATACAAGCCCAAACGAAAAAATATATAAAAGTCTAAATTGAAAACAACGTTCAAACCTATGATTGCGTTGGATAAAAACTGCAATTTTTATACGTGTGCATGTAAAACAAATGTCTTGGTAGAGGGGTCTAAATACAGCACAAACAACAATTTCCAAAAGACCAAAAAAAGTGAAAAAGTCTATTGTAAAAAAACGCATTTGACTAACAGGTCGAACAACTGATGTTCTTAAACCCTGATGACTGCCATTGGCGATTGCCAAATAAATTGATCACCAGATCTAACGAAATGGATCTTAATATTAATTTAATACCAAACAGAAAACAATAAACTTGTGGAAAAGATGGTATACCACAAACATTAGGTGCAAAAATTTGTACACCATATCCGGATTTCGACAATTAATGTCTCTTCAGTGATGTTAGGGATCGAAACGGTATTTGGAAGGCCATATAATTTACCTCAATTTAGGATAGACTCTTGAATTTTAAAGAGTCGAAATAGGATGAACGGATCATATAAACCCGAAGGAAAATATAATACAAGCCCAAACGAAAAAATATATAAAAGTCTAAATTGAAAACAACGTTCAAACCTATGATTGCGTTGGATAAAAACCGCAATTTTTATACGTGTGCATGTAAAACAAATTTCTTGGTAGAGGGGTCTATATATATATAGATATATATACAAGTCTAAATTGAAAACAACGTTCAAACCTCTGATTGCGTTGGATAAAAACCGCAATTTTTATACGTGTGCATGCAAAACAAATTTCTTGTTAGAGGGGTCTAAATACAGCACAAACAACATTTTCCAAAAGACCAAAAAAGTGAAAAAGTATACTTTAACAAAAAGCATTTGACTAACTGGTCGAACAACAAATGTTCTTAAATCCTGCTGCCTGCCATTGGCGATTGCCAAATGAACGGATCACAAGGTGTAATAAATGGATCTTAACTATAAATTTAATACCAAAAAGAAAACAATAAACTTGCGGCGAAGATATATATATATATATATATATATGGTGATCTATTGTAATACCATGACCTATAGTTGTAAATACACGTACTTTTACTTAAGGGGTAAATTCAGTAAAAAATCTCCCATTGACTTTAATGCTAATCTATGTCTTGAATTAAATTTATACCTGATTTACCTTTAGAAATTGGAAGCTTTCATATATCATTCTTGAAAGTACAAATGTAGCCCTATCTTTTGCAACAATAAAAACATAGGGTCATGCGGCATTTTTGGGCATTCACATGGCCTTGTTTACAAACACTGTAGATTCGCACTTAATTCCTTTACTGACCCCCATTGCTTTTCAACCCTGTAGTAAAAAAAAATTAGTACATTCAGCATTCATTTTTTAATTTTTTTTAACTCTAGTTTTGATCCATCTATCAAAAAATATTTATTACAAACATTATCTACCAATCAGAAGAGCACAGGACTTCAGTTTTGTACAGAAAGCTCTCCCCCAAATGGGCGGTCCCTGGTGACGTATATTTATTTACTGAATTTACCCCTATAAGGGACTTTTTAACTTCTTTTCCTATTTTTGTTGTATTAATCATGTAATGTATCCAATTTTCAAGTACCAGTTTCAATACAACATTCATAAAGGCTGAACTTGTAAAGAGGGAGGAAAATTTATACTAAAGCCCATACTGCGGCCAATGTATATTTGGTATATAAAGTTGCACATTGACTGTTTTTAAAAGAATGGTGTAAAATACTATGCTTAATAAATATGAATTGTTTTCTGTGTTTGCTTTGATCAGTATTGCAAGTACATCTAGGAACTAAAGTCTTGATGTACTCTTAGTTAAATTTTGCCTTATATGGAAGATTTTAATTAAATACCCTGAAAAAGACCACAAAAAGACTTTTCAAAGGTTTTTTAAGCAGTTTCATACCATAAAAAACAACAATTATGTTTCATTTTACTAAATCTGTGTTTTAATTACTTGTAAATTTCACAAAATGTCATTGACAACCACTCTGCAGAAATTCCTGTTACCCCAACATCAGGATGGTTTCTTCGCCAAAACTAGACGGACAAAACTGAAGTAGAAAAAAGTGCCAAATATGAAAAAAATAAGACTGGGTATGACCAAACTTTGCATTTGGAACATAAAAGTAACAATTTAGAATATTAAAAAGCAATTATTCAACATAGCAATCCAATTACAAACATTTCAACACTAGTTTTATAGATGAAGGGTATATAATAATGAAAAGTTGTCTAGTATTTTTTTTTACTTAAAGAAACGCAATGAATTATGTAAAAAATAAATGAATATCTTCATACGGTCAGATTATTCGAGTGTTAAAATACTTGAAAAGTGCTTATTTACAACATGATCTACAACTTAACATGGGGAACACAGCTAAAAAAAATACACTATGTCAAAGGGAGGTAATTCTGATTTTCCATATGATTTTCCACATTATTAGGAGAAATATGTTCAAATGTGATTTAAAATGGGGAGAATATTTATGCCTTTTAATAATATCATAACTCTCAAGTGTAATTTCTATTGTTTCTTTCAATCTGGACACAAAACTGATTTTTTACCATATACCCATGCTTCCTCCCACAGTACACTCAGAGCATCCTGGATAGCCGCGGTTAAACATAGAAATTTGTATAAAAACAACTTTAACTGGTTCCAAGAGGCTTCCATTGCATTAATATTTACAGGAAATGAGTTTTGTGATTATTGTGTGGCCTTGAACAAGTACAGTGACAGAGTGCATATTTTCCTATAGGGGTAAATTCAGTAAAAAATCTCCCATTGACTTTAATGCTAATCTATGTCTTGAATTAAATTTATACCTGATTTACCTTTAGAAATTGGAAGCTTTCATATATCATTCTTGAAAGTACAAATGTAGCCCTATCTTTTGCAACAATAAAAACATAGGGTCATGCGGCATTTTTGGGCATTCACATGGCCTTGTTTACAAACACTGTAGATTCGCACTTAATTCCTTTACTGACCCCCATTGCTTTTCAACCCTGTAGTAAAAAAAAATTAGTACATTCAGCATTCATTTTTTAATTTTTTTTAACTCTAGTTTTGATCCATCTATCAAAAAATATTTATTACAAACATTATCTACCAATCAGAAGAGCACAGGACTTCAGTTTTGTACAGAAAGCTCTCCCCCAAATGGGCGGTCCCTGGTGACGTATATTTATTTACTGAATTTACCCCTTAAATTAATTTATATTGTAGAAAATTGGGGAGAAGGAGTATACTTCAGCAGTGAAGCAGGCTTTACAATTCTAAAAGGGATTGACACTGACGACAACTCTACAACTGATCGTACAATATATATGTGTAAGGTGTTGACTGGTGTTCACAAACAAGGTATAGCCGGAATGCGATACTTACCAATGAGACAAGATGGAACCATGATGAACTATGATTCGGCTACTGATAATTGCAAACCTCCCGTTCAGTTTGTTATTTTTAATGACACACAAGCATATCCACAGTACTGCATCAGGTTTAGACTTTAGAATTTTTACAAGCAGAGTTGCATTAATATGCAAAATTCATTATTGTATATAATTGTATATTTATCAGTACCAAAATTGATTTTGTTTTGATAAATTAAAACGTGACTAATTTTGTTTTCATATACACTTAGTACTATATCATATCGATACAATGTGTTTATATCTTTACATAGGACAAGAGCATGTTTTTTTCTGTTTATGATGCCCTGAGCTAAATCCATTTGATGAATACGGAATGATATAGTAGTCTAGAAAAAACATGATTAATATATAAATTGTTATTGGCTTTGAAATAGCTTTCAGTAATTGTTAGTACTCTTAGATCGGAATTTTGTTCTTTTGCCTATTTGTTAGTTGATTTTGATTTGTTTGTTTATTGGTTTATTTTTTTTGCCCTGTGCCGATCTGATGAGTTAATCCCTTTCAACTGATGTTTACAGTATTTGCTTATATTATGCTGCCAAACCACTGCCCTAGGTTTGGGAAAGGTTGAGCATCCACAACCATGTTTAACCTCGTCACCTCTCTTTATTCGTTTTGTGTCTTTCTCAAGTCATTAGTCGTTTTAATTGTGGGTTGCTGTCTGTTATATTTGTTTTTCCGTTTATTGTTTTATCATAAGGCAGGCTATTGGTTATTCTAGTTTGAATTGTTCACATTTTTTTATGCCGCGGCCTTTTATAGCTTACTATAGATTATGGGTTTTGCTCATTGCTGTAAGCAATATGGTGACATATTTACATCCACGTCAGTGTATCTCTGATGGATAGTTGTCTCATTGGCAATCATACCACATCTCCGTATTTTTATGTCTACAAAGTGATAACAAGTTTCCTTAATTAGATTTTAAACAAAAATTAACAGTATATCAAGCTTATTCTACAACATTATCTTTTTTATTTTAAGTTTGAATTAGCTTATTTGCAGATTTTTGCTTTAATGAATGTCAGTGGTTCTTTTTCTTTGTCTTTGAATATTTTAAACCTTTACTGTTTAGTCCATTTTTTGTAATATCCTTTTGGCTTGGCTCGGTATTTATACATCCCGCCTTTGTGTTATTGTGCTATGGTCATTTTGTTTTGTAGTCTTGTCTTTCATTTTTGCTTATATGCTTTGTCTATATGCCATTTTGTTTTTCTTTGTTGACTTAGTTGTTTGTTTTTATAGTGATTAAGATTATGACACAATGTTGACTGCTGTACCCCAAATTTTGACATTTTTACCTATTATGTCTGTTTGTTTTGCTTTCACATTGTTGTCAATATAATGGAATTCCATGCGACTGTCATACAAGTGAGAGATTTCGCTAGTATAAAAAAAAAGGTTTAATCGAACATTTTCTACATAAGGAAATGTACCAAGTCAGGAATATGATAGTTGTTTTCCATTCGTTTGGTGTGTTTGAGCTTTTAATTTTGCCATTTGATAGGGGACTTTTCGTTTTTCATTTTCCTTTGAATTTGGTATTTTTGTTATTTTACTTTTTATGAACGGCTTTTCGTTCTGAAATTAACTATAAAACAATGTAATACATTCTATATATATAGGTTTGAAGTTTGTCAACTCTTGTATATTTTTTGGAAGCTGCATCGATGTAACTTTGTTGGCCACTTATAAGCTATGAATCGAAGAGGTATGGTCTACAAAAATCATTATGCTTGTCAAATTTCAATGATGCCTTAATATCTAATATTGCTTGGAAATGTCCCATTCAATAAAATATGAAATACTAGTACAGTCAAACCTAATGTGAAGATCACCTATATCAAGCAAAAACTTTTCTTTTCACGTGACCTTCTTTTCAAACTGCTGTAATAATATCTATGCATTTGGAAATTCAATTTAAAGGTCACATATCTTACAGGGTTAGATTTTCCTGGTCCCAAGGGTGACCTTTATATACAGTTTAATGGTATATGTCCAAGGTGATGTGTGTGAATTCTCGACTGCCCACTATCGAAGTGACTCTCTTCTCCTTAGAGTTAGTTAAATTGTTGAGTCAGATTTTGATTATCTCTCTTCTGATGAAAGTATACGTTTTTCGTGTTGGAAATAGTTTTGATACAATCGGAACAATCTTTACCTCACTTTTTTCATCATACTTCCTATAACATTTGATTTCCAAGCATGGTTTTATACATGCAAATAATTGTGTTCTCTAAATATATGTTTGTAACTTTTTGGTTTAGACAACTGTAATGCATCATTTTTTTAATCTCTGAGTATGAGGAGTGTAATTTTTACACTAAAGCGTAGAACATCAATTATTTTGTTTCCTGGTTTATAAATGATAAAAAGCGACGTGGCTGTACGATACATTGAGCGCACACACTTAAATCTTCCATGTTCTAACTTTTTTGTGTTTCTTTCTATTAACTTGTTTTGAAATTATAGAATATTAAGAATATATTAAGAAAGGGTTTTACCTTGCCTTAAATGCTCCCAAACAAACTAAATTAAAAAAACTTTCTGTCAAAAACTCAATTTCTCTCAGATATAATATTTGTGATGTGTAGTTTTGCATTTTCACATTAAAGTATAGAAAATTATTTTTGCTTGTTTCTTTGTTAATAAATAGAATAACATTATGGATAAAATTCATTATGACACAATCTAGATATACACTTGCAGTCATGAACAATAGATAATTGCGTCTTTTTGAGATCTATTCACATTAGAAATATGACAATTAAGGTCAGTTGAGAACTAGGTTCCTCGATTAAAGAAATGATTATCGTGGTGTGACCTTTCCGTTTCTGTGTGGCAACATTTCAAAAGTGCCTATATAAGATTTATGCATTTCCCAATTGATATCTCATTTTAAGGCTTGAGTTTGCAATCTTGATCTTGTTGTAAATCCAGATGTGAAGCATTTGTATTTGTTGCATACAGATAACACCGAATAAATTGTATGCGTCTAACGCGCTTTTCTGAATTTACATTCAATTGGAACGTTCAAAGCTCTGATTCCTTGAAATCAAAAGACAAAGCTAGTTTTTTTTCCATTCTTCCTGAGAATACAAGAGGTAGTCGACAAAGAGAGGAGCATAGTTTGTTCAAATGGCACTGTAGATTATTTTCTTGAAAACCTGTCTAGAAAAGTCATATTCAGATAGCTCTTCGTTTGGGCAGAGAAGGTTATGAAATAAGAGTTGTCCCTTCCTAAAAGATGAAATTGGTATCTTTGTTCGTCTATCTTTTTGTATTCAACGAAGTCAGACTAATTCTTTAGATCTAAATTTAGAATAATGAATATTTGTGTAAAGAGTGGCGAAGTCAAACGTGTTTATACTACAACACAAGGAGAGGGGATCTTTTGAGTTTTTACTATCCGCATCTACTTCACGACGACCCTGGAGAAGATGGTTTCATAAAGTCTGATGCCCGATATTTATAGCGGGCAAATTAAGGCGACAGTAGTTAACTGATATTCTAATCGCGTAAATCGATTAAGAAGAGACAAATCAAGGTAACAAATAAAACCTGAAATCCAAACGAAACGAAACAGGGTGCGTCAACATGGTAAACGTTTCCTGCTATGCATGTATCACCGCCATCCCACTTTGTCAAAATGTCACAGCTGGCAATAGGACTCAATTGGTAAAATTACAGATCAGACAACTATAATGGTATCATAAGGTCTTATATCGTGAAACATGTTGTTAGTGAGTTGAGACGCCGAAATATAGAATATAACATATATGAGATATAAGTTGATCATTTCGAAAAGTGTTGTGGAGAATTGTCAGACATATCAATATAACGCTGTCCACAAGGACGCCCATGTACATTGGGTTTAAAAAGATTTATCAATAACTTATTCCATTTTGAAGCAGTTTATATACTGTCACTAACAACGAAAAGTGATGTTATATAGAATTTGACTCGGAGGAAACACAAAAAATGTGTCATTCCCGTTGGACAGGTGTTCAACAACATCTTGATCTTTAAGATAGATGTAGCACGTATATTCATAGACACCTTGCGTATTTTTTTTTAAATTCTGCTTTGTTTCAACGACCTTAATTAATATCTTATAACGGATTGCAAAAAAGTGAAATTCTTGAACGATTGCTAACAAAAAAATTACAGTTATAAACAAACATGCATAGAATGATATCATCTTGTCACTTTGATACAAAAAATCCAAGAAGTTTTGAACCGATAGAAAACAATTTTAAGACACAATCTTAAGATATATATATTAATAAATTAATATTTAAGATCCATTTTGTTACATCTGGTGATCCGTTTATTTGGCAATCGCCAATGTCAGTCAGCAGGGGTTAAGAACATCCGTTGTTCGACCTGCTAGTCAAATGCGGTTTTTATCCAACGCAAATATAGGTTTTAACGTTGTTTTCAATTTAGAATTGTTTATATTTTTTCGTTTGGGCTTGTATTATATTTGCCTTCGGGTTTATATGATCCGTTCATCCTATTTCGACTCTTCAAAATTCAAGAGTCTATCCTAAATTGAGGTAAATTATATGGCCTACCAAATACTGTTTCGATTCCTAACATCACTGAAGAGACATTAATTGTCGAAATCCGGATATGGTGTACTAATTTTTGCACCTTTTGTTTGCGGTATACCATCTTTTCCGCAAGTTTATTATTTTCTGTTTGGTATTAAATTAATAGTTAAGATCCATTTTGTTACATCTGGTGATCCGTTTATTTCGCAATCGCCAATGGCAGTCAGCAGGGTTTAAGAACATCCGTTGGTCGATCTGCTAGTCAAATGCGTTTTGTTAAAATATACTTTTTCACTGTTTTGGTCTTTTGGAAAATGTTGTCTGTGCTGTACTTAGACCCCTCTACCAAGAAATTTGTTTTGCATGCACACGTATAAAAATTGTGGTTTTTATCCAACGCAAATATATGTTTGAACGTTGTTTTCAAATTAGACTTGTTTATATTTTTTCGTTTCGGCTTGTATTATATTTGCCTTCGGGTTTATATGATCCGTTCATCCTATTTCGACTCTTCAAAATTCAAGAGGATATCTTAAATTGAGGTAAATTATATGGCCTACCAAATACCGTTTCGATTCCTAACATCACTGATGAAACATTAATTGTCGAAATCGGGATATGGTGTACTAATTTTTGAACCTTTTGTTTTGCGGTATACCATCTTTTCATCAAGTTAATTGTTTTCTGTTGGGTATTAAATTAATAGTTAAGATCTATTTTGTTACATCTGATGATCCGTTTATTTGGCAATCGCCAATGGCAGTCAGCAGGGTTTAAGAACATCCGTTGTTCGACCTGCTAGTCAAATGCGTTTTGTTAAAATATACTTTTTCACCGTTTTTGGTCTTTTGGAAAATATTGTTTGCACTGTATTTAGACCCCTATACCAAGAAATTTGTTTTGCATGCACACGTATAAAAATTGTGGTTTTTATCCAACGCAAATATAGGTTTGAACGTTGTTTTCAATTTAGACTTGTTTATATTTTTTCGTTTCGGCTTGTATTTTATTTGCCTTCGGGTTTATATGATCCGTTCATCCTATTTCGACTCTTCAAAATTCAAGAGTCTATCCTATTTTTTGGAATTTTGGGTCCTCAATGCTCTTCAACTTTGTACTTGTTTGGCTTTAAAACTATTTTGATCTGAGCGTCACTGATGAGTTTTATGTAGACGAAACGCGCGTCTGGCGTATTAAATTATAATCTTGGTACCTTTGATAACTATTTACACCACTGGGTCGATGCCACTGCTGGTGGACGTTTCGTCCCCGAGGGTATCACCAGCCCAGTAGTCAGCACTTCGGTGTTGACATGAATATCAATTATATTTTCATTTTTCTAAATTTCCTGTTACAAAACTTTGATTTTTTCGAAAAACTAAGGATTTTCTTATTCCAGGAAAAGATTACCTTAGCCGTATTTGGCACAACATTTTGGAATTTTGGGTCCTCAATGCTCTTCAACTTTGTACTTGTTTGGCTTTATAACTATTTTGATCTGAGCGTCACTGATGGGTCTTATGTAGACGAAACGCGCGTCTGGCGTATTAAATTATAATCCTGGTACCTTTGATAACTATCTATCCTAAATTGAGGTAAATTATATGGCCTACCAAATACCGTTTCGATTCCTAACATCACTGAAGAGACATTAATTGTCGAAATCCGGATATGGTGTACTAATTTTTGCACCTTTTGTTTGCGGTATACCATCTTTTCAGCAAGTTTATTGTTTTCTGTTTGGTATTAATTTAAAAGTTTAGATCTATTTTGTTACATCTGGTGATCCGCTTATTTGGCAATCGCCAATGGCAATCAGCAGGGTTTAAGAACATCAGTTGGTCGACCTGCTAGTCAAATGCGTTTTGTTAAACTATACTTTTCACTATTTTGGTCTTTTGGAAAATGTTGTTTGTGCTGTATTTAGACCCCTCTACCAAGAAATTTGTTTTGCATGCACACGTATAAAAATTGCGGTTTTTATCCAACGCAAATATAGGTTTGAACGTTGTTTTCAATTTAGACTTGTATATATATATATTATGCTAGGCGGTGTTGTCGTAGAAGTATAAAGTGAAAAGTACAGGTTCCAGTCCCGGTCGGGGAGGAAGTAAAGAATCAAATCTATTCTCACATTGTTAGGTTGATTTTCTAGGCACTTTATATATATATAAAATCAAAGTTCAATATGCTCATAAAGTCCTTTAATTCACTACATTTTTCTCCAACCATGGATGATAATGTAACTAATGAAGTCAATTGTAACGTAACGTCACGATTATTAGTCCGTAACAATGCATTAAAGGGACATAACCCTTACATACTTACATACATTATATGCGATCTTGAATTTGCCCTAAATTGACATCAGTACTAGGAGTTTTGTAAAATTTACCATGGTGACAACTCCTTACGAAATTTACATTTTGTAAATGTTTTGATTTTTTGTGTTTTACATGTTTTCTTAACCATTATATTGTTATGACTCATAAGTTTGCCGATTGTGTCCGTACGAGATTTGACATTTTGACTGATTGTGGCGCTTACCCTGTCAATGCATCCGGTCACACTACTTTTTGAGTGCATGCAATTCTGTTAGTTTTTTTCTGATTGACGAGATTTAAACATCGGTAAATTAAAAGAGGGACGAAAGATACCAGAGGTGCAGTCAAACTCATAGATCGAAAACAAACTGACAACGCCATGGCCAAAAATAAAAAAACACACAGACAAATAATAGTACAGATGACACAACATAGAAAACTGAAGACTAAGCAACACGAACCCCACCAAAAACTGGGGTGATCTCAGGTGCTCCGGAAGGGTAAGCAGATCCTGCTCCACATGTGGCACCCGTCGTGTTGCTTATGTTACTACAAATCTGGTAAATAGTCTAATTCGGTAGGTCACATTCGTGAAAAGGGAAGGGTATTGTAGTTACGACATAAGGAACACATTCGATATCATATGTGAAACGGTTATTCCATAACGGTCAACCAACTCGTGCTGGCGTCCGTAAAATTTACGAAGGGATGATTT